ATGGGTGGAGCAACAAAAAATGTGTCGGCCACCAAATAAGGCGATCAGAAAAATTTTTTCTCTTCTCGACTTTGTTTTTGAGGGCTTCTGGGCCGCTTTTAAGAGACTTAAATATTTTTTATTTAGTCGGCTTTCTTTACCCAATTTTTCAGTGTTTTGCCGATCACTTTTTTTTTGTTAATTTTCTCTTGTCTTTTAATCCTCTTTTGCCTTCCGTAAATATGGAAGTGCATTAAATTAATAAATATATTTTGGACTTTCTTTTTAGTGTTTGTACTCTTATGGGACTCTAATATACCTATAAGGAGTGCATTATTTGGAGGTGTTTATTGTATAGAGGGTATTTTATGATTCGGAGTGGGCTATTTAGGAGGTGTCCATTACATAGAGGGTATTTTATATTAATCGCCATTAAGTTTACCTTCGAGTTGATATAATATAGGGTTCACACTATTTAATATAAACTCTCACTATAACGACATCCACGGGGATCTCTTGTGAGTTACCGTATACACGTTAAGTCTACAGTTGTTCCTTCAGGACATTCGATTTATTTCCGAATTAAGATACCTGGGCCAATTATTTTCTGACCTTCAAGACGTCTGACTGATTCAACCCGTAGAGAGCAGACTCGACGATTGATCGAGATATCCAGGAAGATCATTTGTTCTTGTCTAGCTTCTTAAACGAGCTCTAGTCTCGGCCCAATTCTCTACCCTAAAGAGAGTCCACAAAATAGAGAGTAAATGTCTCTCATTACTCTCATCACTACAATAGCTACTTAATTTTCTTTAATATTTTTTATATTCCCTCCTATGCCTATCCTTTCCCTTCCCTTTAAAATGTGTGTGCTTGCGCAGTCTCTGTCAGCCTGTAAAATCAACACAAAACAAGTCAGTCACTGTTTACATTTTTTAATTGTTTTTCGTCAACAACAACAGATTTTAGATAAAAACATTAAAAATAAATATTCTGTTTTTATGTTTTTATTTTCTCTCTCTCCAATAGTTTTTATGACTCTGTCCTGAATTTGTTTTGTTGTTTTGTATTTCTCGCCTTGACATTTTTTTGTTTCAAGTCGTAAACGTTAAAATTTAGCTGCGTGACATGGCAGAGTTTTTGTTGCAAGTACTCTATTTTATGGACCCTTTTAGTAACTCCAATCGTCCATAAGATAGAGGGTTTCTTCTATTGCTTAAGGAGAGAGTCTCTTATATAGAGGGCCTATTTTTTCCTTATAATAGAGTCTCTTATAACAATCGTCCATAAAACAAGGGTCTCTTCTATTTTCGTTATAGAGCGTCTCTTATATAGAGGGTTCCTTCTAGTCCCTAAAATAGAGAGTCTCTTCTAAAAATTGTACATAAAACAGAGGGGTTCCTTTATTTTCGTACACAAAGAGTCTCTTATAACGAGAGTCTCTTCTAATCTTTAAAAAAGAAAGTCTCTTCTAAAAAATCGTACGTAAAACAGAGGACTTCTTCTATTATCTAACTAACCTAATCACCTCTTTCTAAAAAAGCGTTGGAAGTTGTCACCCAAAAGAATTTTTTCTGACAGATTTTTGTTTCTTTTGTGTTCACTTAACTGATCATTCTCTCTTTTTTTCTCCCACTTTTTTGTAATAAAAATTAACAAACATAAATCTTGTATAGTCGGCTTGATGAAAGGGCGCGGCAGTTTCTTTTTATTTCACCCAACAACACGCTTTTTAATAACGTCATTTTTATAAGGGAAAGGCAAGTCTCTATTATGGTAAATGCGCAAGTCTTTTTCTCTTTCCCTGCTTATGACTGTCTGCCCTAAAAATGCTTTAAAAAGTCAGACAAAATATTCCGCCTACTAGGCGTCAAAACTCCTCCCTGAAAATTACGCTTGTTTAGTGTAAAACTTGGCAGAGAAAAAATTATGAGGAAATAGTGTGTAAAAATAAGAGAGTGTTGTGTTTAGTTTTTCTTTTAACTCTTAAAATAGTGTGAATAAAAATAAAACAAGAGAGACTTTCTTAGACATTTTGCCAAGACACATTTTGTCAATAAGGCTAAAATTCGACATTTTGTCAACAGACTTTATGACAAAACGTAGGTTTTTAGCCTTATTGGCAAAATGTGTCGGAGCCGAAAAGTGTCCCCAACTTGTCTCTCTTATTTTTACGATTCTCTCTAATTATGTGTCGCTATTTTTTCACTCCTCTTTGTCACCTTCTCCTCTTTCCCTATTTTCTCTTAACGCTTTTTTCTTCTCTTTTCTAGTCTGTCCTGGGCGTGTCGTTATTCGCGCCTAGCCCGACACATAAGCGGATTGGATTGTGAAAAACGAAACAGCCCCGCCTTTGTGTGTGTGTGTAAATGACTGACAAACGGCCCAATCGTCTCAATATTTGCCTACACACAATTTATTTTTTTGAAAATTTTTTGGGTGTTGATGGATAAATTGTTGAGAGATGTCTTTTTTTTGTTAAGCAGCAACACTTGATAAAAAAATTATTTTTTAAATAGGGGATCAATTGTCTCACGATTACCCACAACATTTTCTATTAAGCCCTCCACATCCGCCATTCATCGACCTTCTGTTGGGTATACCCCAAGGTACCGCAGAGCTATAACTTCGTTCAAAGTGATCGAATCCGGGACGTCCCCCCAATGAGCTGAGTCGAACTAAACCAGGATTCGACAATTTTGAACGACGTTATAGCTTTGCGGTACCTTGGGCTTGCGGTACCCTGGCCTGCTCCCATTTCTGTCATTTTCTTTAATATTCTAATTTGTTTGTCTCCCCCGGGCGAGGAATTTAGTTTAAAAAAGACAAGAAAACTTCTACCAGTTTCGCTCTTCTTCCACTCCCCAAACATGGAAAACGCTTAAAATTGAGGGTTACCTAGGCAAGAGACTTAAAAATACAACTAAATTTGCCCTCACCCTCCATCCGAGACAACCTTTAAAATCCCTCAATTTCGATTTTTTGGGTTCTCTACATTTTTCACTTCATTTTTTTATTTTTTATACATTTTTAAGGTGTCAATTTTCACATTTATTCCCCCCTCTTCAAAAAATTCCTTTTGTTTTTTTCAACTCTTTCATTTCATAATTTTGTTCTTTCACAGGCTTACCATATGGCCAACAATCACTACCACCAACAATCATCACCTCCTTTAAATAACAACTCTAAAGACTCAAATCCCGTCAAAATCGATGGGGATTTGTCCAATTCTTCAGAAAATGTCAAAATGTCGAATTTTCAAAATGTCAATGTCGGAATGTCAAATCCTCAAAATGCCCACATTTCCACTCTAAATAATTCAATAAACCCCCCAAAACCAATGGGGGATGTCCAAAATTTTGGTCCCCCAAATATTCTCCAAATGGCAATTAATAGGCCTGAAATATTCGCACAATTGTTGGGGTCGACAACTTCTGGAAACTTTCCTTCATTTAATGGAGGTATTTTTAATAAAACACAAAAAAATACAAGAATCAGAATTAAATAAAAATCAGAATTATTTAAAGAAAAATACATTTATTTCCCCCAAATAATTCTGGTTTTTATTTAATTCTGATTTTTGTATTTTTTGTGTTTTTCTGATTTTTATTCAAGTTTTTCCCAAGTTTATTTTAATCAGTTCTGGTTTTTGTTGGGTGTTTTAATTAAATTTTGATTTAAGTTTGTGTTTTACTTGTTTTGTGTTTCTTTTATTAAAATAGGTTTTTTGGGTGCTTTCTTCTCATTTTAATTTAATTTAATTAAAATTTAATTTTTTTTTCAATTTTTAAGGAAGACCTCCTCATCCTCCTCTATGGCCTCTCCACACCCCTCTCCGTTTTTCTCCTTTTGATTTTGCTTCTAGAGAAATATTTGGAACAACAGCAATACCTTCAATAAATCACCCACCCTTTCCAATAACCAAAATAGATGATGGAATTAAAGATAACCCTGTTGTTCAATTAGAAGATAAAGATTTATGGGAAAAATTTAATCCTTTGGTTAATGAAATGATTATTACAAAGAGTGGAAGGTAAAAACAAGTTCTTAATTGGTTTGTTTTGGGGGAAATGTGTTTCAGAAAAAGTTTAATTAAAAATGTTTTTCTGGTCAAGTTTTGTATTTTATGTTTGAATTCAAGTTTTATTGATATTCTGATTTTAATTTAATGTGTTTTGGAAAGTTTAATTCTGGTTTTGTTTTTATTAAATATTCTGATTTGTGTTTCATGTTTATTTAGTGTTCTGATATATGTGTTTTTGTATTTTGTTTGAAATCAGAACATTAAATAAACAAAAAATACATCAGAATATTTAATAAAATTAAATCAGAATTAAACCTTCCCAAAACATTGTATTTTATTCTGAATGTATTTTCTGGTTCAGTTTGTGTTTTTAATTTTTCAGAATTTATTTCCAAGTTTCAGAAAAAGTTGAAGACTTTAATTTCTCTAGCAAACAGGCGGTCTCTCTCTCACCCTAGCAGTCTCTCCATTTAATATTTAGGCCTGTGTTTTTAAAATTAAAAGAAAACTTTCTTTTTAAATTTTTATAAGGGGAAAACAATTAAAAATAAATTGTTTTGATCAGAAAGAAATTTATTTTCCAATTCATTGCGCCATGGATTTGGTTATTTACTTATTTGAAAGAAGTGACAATTAAATGGCGTGAACGATTAAATAAAGATTATAGAGAGAAAAAAAAAGTTAAAAAGTGTGGGAAATATTTAAAATGTTTTGAGGGGATAGACACGCGTCTTAAAAATAATAAAAAGAAAATACAAAAATAATTAGTCCCCTAAAACCTTTTCTCTTATTTTTATGGAAAAATAAAACTTGGGAAAATATAGTAATAAATAGAGAGAAAGATTTTATCTGATAGAGAAAGAAAAATAAACTTGTCCAAGTTTTAATTAGAGAAAATTATTGTATTTAAAGTTGTAAGAAAAGTTTGTGTTTTTATTAGAATTACAGAAAACACAGTAAAATAAAATACAACTTTAATTCTGATTTACTGTGTTTTATGAAAATTGTATTTTTTGTTAAAGTTTTGTATTTTTTGTTTTAATTCAAGTTGTAATAATATTCTGATTTTAATTTAATGTTTTGGGGAAAGTTTAATTCTGGTTTTGTTTTTACTAAAAATGCTGATTTTATTTTGTGTTTATTAAGTGTTTCATGTAATTCTGATTTAATTACACTTCTAATTCTGATTCAAGTTTATTATTTGTATTTTTGCTTCATTTTTAATTCTGATTTTAATAGGCGAATCTTCCCTGCCTTAAAAGTGAAACTGTCTGGACTGGACAAAAAGGCCAATTATTATGTCATAATGGTAATTTTTTAGAATTTTCAAAAATAAAACAAAATTATTTAAAGGACATAGTTCCTTGTGACGCCAATCGTTGGAAATTCCACAATTCTCGTTGGACTGTGGCGGGGAAAGCAGATCCTGAACTTCAAAAACCTCTACATATCCACCCAGATTCGCCTGCTACGGGGGAACATTGGATGGCTAAAGGAGCAAGTTTTCATCGAGTAAAGGTGACAAACAATGCTACAAACAAGGCAGAATTTGTGAGTTTCTAATTAAAATGTGTTTTGGTTTTAGGGGTAAAATACAAATAATTCTGATTTTTCATTGTATTTCGTGTTTTAATGTGTTTCTGATTTATACCCATTAAATGTATTTTCCCTATATTCTGATTTAATAATATTGTGTTTTAGTTAATTCTGATTTACCTTAAAAATACAATGTTTGTAGGTAATTCTGGTTTATTTACGTATTTAATTCTGATTCAAGTTTAATTGTGTTTTTGTATTTTTACTAATTCTGATTTTAAATAAAAAGTTTAATTAATTCTGATATTATTTAAATTTTACTTTTTTTCTCTAACTTCTCTCTTCAACTTCTATTTACTTTTCTTCGCGCATTTATATTAGCTTACCTACCAGGGATGGGCGAAATCAAAAAATAAAAAGCGAAATGCGAAATGCGAAACTTTTTTTAAAAAAATAAAATGCGAAATGCGGAATGCGAAACTTTTCGCGCCAAAAAATGCGAAAAATGCGAAAGATGCGAAATGCGAAATCGCCCATCCCTGTTACCTACCTCTTTATTTTCTTACCTCTCTTCTTTTTTTACATTTTCCACTTACTTAACCACTTATTGCTATAAAATAGCTAATCCCCTTTTTTTCCTCTTTTTTCTAGTTACTTTATCGCCTTCAATTTTTGGGGTCGAGAATATATATTTTTGAAGTAAAAGTCTTCCCCTCCTCTTCCCTCCCTCTCTTCCCTCCTCTCCCCCTCCCTTCTAATCTACAAAATTTTGAGAGGAAAATTATTTTTTTTATTAATTTTGTAAGGGAGGTGTCCTATCAACAACTACCAACAAGTTCTCCTCTAAAACTGACACACTTCAACAACAAACAGTGGCAGTCTCCTTAAATTTGACCACCCGAGAGCGACAACGATAACAAGTCCCCCCACGCTTTTACACTTTTCTTTCCCTTTTTTCGTGATAACAGAAAACCGGGAGTGAATAAACAGAGGGAAGAAGGAGAGAGGGAAGAGGGGTTGGGAAGGGAGGTTGGGGGAGGAAGGGAGAGGGGGGTGCCAACGTCGCGCGACCAACCACCAACCAAACACTTCTTCCTCTCAATTTACTTATCTTTTTTATTAAAAAAGTATTCCCCTCTTCTTCCCTTTTTATTGGCCCAAAAATATTTATTTACTTAAGTATTTACCTCTCCACTCCCGTAATTCTCTGTTGCTCTTCTAAATATTATTTAACTACTTAATTTTCTTACCTTCCCTAAAAACATATTTTTCTCGTCATTTAACCGATATTGAGTGGGGAATTTTTTTCTGTTTATTTGCGCTTTGAAAAGGGAGAAAACAAAAAAAAATATTTTTTTGATGGAGTGCTGTGGCCTACTAAATATTTATTTTATACACCTTTATAGCTTTTTGATAGAAAGGGGAGAGGCGTTGAGGGAAAGGGGAGAAGAAAGAAAAGTCCAACACCGTATCCTCAAAAATGAAAGTAAGGGGAAATTAAAAATATTTTTTATGTTTTGGTAGATATCATAAGTGGGTCGGAATTCCGATTTCCGAAAAAAAATTTTGATTTCCGATTTGAGAGTTCCGACTTTTGAGCCAGTTCCCATTTCTGGCTCTTCCGATTTCCGACACCTCTGACTGTTCCGACCTACCTCTGGTTTGGTATGTGATATTTAACCCGAAAGGAACTCTCATAGAAGACCTGTGAGGCCTAAAAAACGGGAAAAATGTTGCCCTATTCGAAACAGGCATTTGCGACTCTGAGGGATTTTTTAATCAAATAATGATTCAAAAATTGTCATTTTGAAACAAAAAATATATTTTTAAATCTCAATCAAAAGGGGGGGAAGGGGGGAGGTTAAAATATGGCAAATGTCTTTAATTTTGACTAGATATCGGACTTGTTTGTCTAAATACTTGGTAGATATCTCGAAAAATCTGGAAGGATTTCTGACAACCCAGAATTTTTCTAAACTAAAAATCTCCATCCTTCTAGTTTACATACTGTGATTTGTTGTCGGATTATGTACTTATTGTCCTTCTTTTCTCCCCCATAAAAATGTCACCATTAGGGACACATTTTCCCCTCCAACTTTTAAGAGGAGATTCTTTAAATATCACCTCTGGTGGCCCGGTCAAGTTTCCCCTCCCCCCTCTTTTTTTAATATTTAAGAATTTGCCAATATTTAATAGTTAGTAACTGATTGATCACCTTAAAGCGTCTCTCGGGTATTTTTCTATTTTAATACCCCGAATAAAAGAAAGTTGGAAGGAAGGGGAAGGATTAAAAGAAGAAAAGAAAAAGGAAAAGAAACATTTGTTCAATCCATTTTTCATTTTTATTTTTAATATTTCCCTCCTTGTATTGTTTTACTCATCTGCTTGTTTTCGTCCTAAAAACACATACAAATGATTGGCCGTCAGAAAGATTGATGGACTCTGTAGAAATTAAAAGGAAGAAAATAGGCGTTTTAAATATTCTGATTTATTACAGCATTTATGTATTTTTGTGTTTGACCAGGCGGATTAGATAAGAAGCAAGGGAATTTAGATATTGAAAAATCAGAATTGTAAAATACAAAACATAAGTAAAATACATAAAATACAAGAATCAGAATAAAATACAAAGTAAAATACAAAAATACATTAAACCAGAATTAAAATACACGTTTTAAAAATATCAGAATTACAGAAATACTTTATTTGTTTCAATCAGAATTATTAGAAGAATAAAAATCAGAATTGTTTGAAATACAATCTTTTTAAAATCAAAAATACAAAATAAATAATCAGAATTATGAAATACATGAAATACAAAAAATCAGAATTAAACCAGAATTTGTTTTTATTTCATTCTGATATGAATAAAAACACAAACAAAATTTATTTTTCCTTTTTCAGACTGTTCTCAACTCTATGCACAAATACCAACCTCGTATACACATTGTTCGTTCAAACGATGTACATTCCTATAAAGTAGCTAATTGGTCTACAACTGTATTTCCTGAAACGGAATTTATTGCAGTCACTGCCTACCAAAACAGCCAGGCAAGTAATAATTTTTATGGTTTTCTGATTTTTGTTCTGATTTTCTGATAGATAAAAAAATACAATTAAAACATAATTACTAAAAATAAATATCCTAATAGAAAATACAAAAGTATGGTAAATCAGAATTAATGAGAAAATAAAACACAAGAATAAACCAGAATTTTATTTCTGATTTGTATTTTTAATTGGTAAAAATCAGAATTATTAAATTCTGATTTAGGTAAATCAGAATTATTTAAAAAAAATACAAAAACTTTTACAAATCAGAAATACATAAAATACATTAAAAACACATCAGAATTTTAAAGAAACACAAACATATAAGTTAGAATTATCAGAATTTTAAACCAGAATTTTTTAGTTGTATTTGTATTTTCTGTTTTGTATTTTTTGTATTTTTCATGTTTTTATCAGAAACAATGTAAAAAGTGTTGCTAGTTGAATTACCATATTTTTTCAATATTTTTCTTTAAAAATTGCCAAAAAATGCCACAAAATTTATTTTATTTTCTCTCATAATTTATATTTTAAGGTCGTAATCCTTCCTTATTTTTAATCGTTTTCTTTTTCAAAATTTATGCCGAAAATATTTTTTTGAGTAAATTTAAGGATTATATCCCCTTATAGTTGCCATAAAATAATAAAAAGAAAAGAGGGAAAATGAAAGGGGGATTAGTAGATTGACTGGTTGAATGTGCTGACACGGCGCATGTCGTAACCCTTCCCCCTAGAGGGAGAAAATTATTTTTTTTTCTTTTCTAAAAATAATTTTTACGCCCTTTCCATGTTTCCTTCTATCAATCATCACCTTGCCGACTAAAAATATTTTTTATGATTTTTCAAATTGTTTTGCCCCTAAATCCACATGGGAAAACAAAGAAAAGGAAGCGCTGTGCAATTTTAGACTTAAGGAAGGAATTAAATATCAGAATTAATAAATTATTGTGTTTTTATTGATGTTTGCAACATATTTTATTTGTTGTGTTTTCTTTGTGTTTTTGTTTTACAAAGAAAACACTTTTGTATTTTTGTTGTTTTTGTTCTTTGTGTTTTTGTTTAAATTTAGTTCTGATTTGTATTTCTGTTTACATTTGTTTTTAATTCTGTTTGTTAAGTTTCTGATTTGTATTTTTGTTTGTTTATATCTAATTCTGATTTTTCAAGTTTAATTCTGATTTAATTATTATTTGTGTTTTTATTCTATAATTCTGATTTTCAATTTAAGTGTGTTTTCTTTGTATTTTTGTTTTACAAAATTCTGATTTTGTATTTTCTTTTTCTTATTTTAATTCAAGTTTATTTTTCTACCCTTATTTTTATCCCTCTCTTTCTCTATCTCCTCCCCATACAGTAGTTTTAACAACATTTTCTTTTTTATTTATCTTTAAAAACACAAAAACATTTTTCCGCTTATTTTCTACCAGTCTCTTTTTATTGGTTATTTTTCTTTTCACTTTGCGTGTTTTATCAGCTTTTTCCCTTACTTCTTACCCATCTCCCTTCATTATTTATTCCCCTTTCCTTTTTTTCTTTCCGCTATTTTTATTGTCTCTTTTGGCCATTTTTGGGTGGTTTAACAACAACACAAAACACTTTTCCGGTTTTTAAAAGCTAAAAAATTATGAAAAGAAAATTAGTCAACTATATATTTATTCTTTTTTCCTAATTTTCTTTTCAATTTAACCGCTTTACGGTATTTAATATTTTATGGATTAATCCTAAGAGAGAAAAATATGTTTTTGATGAAGAAAAAGAAATTTTTCTGAGAAAAAATTAAAGAAAAAAATTGAAAAAAATTTAAAAGTAATTTTGGGGTCTCTAAGGAATATTTTAAGTCTAAATTGTTTTTAGAAAAGAAAAAGGAGGGAAAACTTAATTGAGTAGACACGCAATGTAATTTAGTGCTAAATAAACGAAATAAATAAATAAACTTGAATAAGTTGGAGAGTTTTGTAAGAGAAAAACACAAATGTGTTTATAAGGGAATGTGTTTTTAATTCTAAAAAAACCAGAATTTTAAAACTTAATCGAAAATACAGTTGAAAACAGAAATTAAAAATACAGATCAGAAAAATAAAATCAGAAAAGATAAAATACAAATCAGAATTAAACAAATGAATAAAAACCAGAACTAGAAAAGAAAATACAAAATATCAGAAATTAAATACAACTTAGAAACCAGAATTTAGAAAAAATACAATTTTTAGTAAAATTAAGAAAATACAAAATAAAAATCAGAAATTAAACTTTAAAAACACTAAAACCAGAATTTGGAAAAAACAACTTAAAAATCAGAATTAATGAAAACACAAAAATAAAATCAGAAAAACATAAAATACAAAAATCAGAATTAATGAAAACACAAAAATAAAATCAGAAAAACATAAAATACAAAAATCAGAATTAATGAAAACACAAAAATACAAATCAGAAAAACATAAAATACAAAAATCAGAATTAATGAAAACACAAAAATACAAATCAGAAAAACATAAAATACAAAAATCAGAATTAATGAAAACACAAAAATACAAATCAGAAAAACATAAAATACAAAAATCAGAATTAATGAAAACACAAAAATACAAATCAGAAAAACATAAAATACAAAAATCAGAATTAATGAAAACACAAAAATACAAATCAGAAAAACATAAAATACAAAACATTATTTTTCAGATAACTGACTTAAAAATCGACAACAACCCCTTCGCCAAAGGTTTTAGAGTCAGCGGTGCTGGTAAACGAGAAAAGAAACGTTTAGCTATACACAGGACAAACTCCTCTAGCAATTCAGCTTTACAAATTGCCAGAATTTTGAGTGGAAATAATAGAAGCAATTTAAATTCTGAAGACGACAGTGATGACGATTTTGAAGATAATTTAGGGCCTACAAAAGCTAAAAGAGCAAAAAGTAATTCTTCCATATCTTCTAATTGTTCTAATAATGAAGGGGGAGGAGGAATTATTGAAAATGGAAGAAAAAGAATATTTAATTTAAACAATAATAATAGAGAGAGGATGACAACAACAACAACAACTTCTATTGGAAGGGGAGGGGGAATAATGCACTCGTTGGTTTGTGTTTTTAGAAAAATAATTCTGATTTGTGGAAAACACAAATTCTGATTTAAAACACATTTCTGATTTTTAAAAACACAATTCTGATTTTAGAAAAATACACATAAAATTAGAGAATATAAAACACAAATCAGAATATTAAAAAAATACAAAGTAGAGATACGAATCAGAATTAAAACTTGAATTAAAAACCAGAAATAAAAAATACAAGATAAATAAAAATCAGAAATAGAGAAATACAAAAATTAAAAACCAGAAACATAAAAACACAAACATTTGTATTTTCTTCAATTACATATGAACAAAACACATTTTCTGGTTTTAAATGTTTTTGAAACATATTTCTGATGTTTTAGGAACAATTATGAATTTATCAAAACATGTTTCTGCCTAAAAAAGTTTTTTTTAATTTTTCAGCCAGGATTTCGACCTCATTTACAAATACCTACAAACAGTAACAGACCCCCACCACAACTACCTCCTCCACCTTTACATCATTTTCCTCTACCTCCCCAACAACAATTAATCTCTCCCTCTTTAATTCAGCATTTATTAACCCCCTCAACATCTTCCCTTTCTTCCTTATTTCCAAATCCTTATCCACAACATTTAACAAATTTTCAAAATTTTAATAATAACCAACAATTGCCCCCTTCACTCATTGTAGCTTTACAACATAAAATGGCCTATGCAAAACAACAACAACAATATTTAAATAATCAGCAACAACAAAATTGTTTAAAAAGAATACAACAACAACAAACATTAATACAAAATGGGGAACAACAAAAACATTTGGAAGAACAAAAATATTTAGAAAAACATCAGGAACAACATCAAAAACAACAAAACATTTTAGAAGATAAACATCAACAAGAACAACAACAAAACATAGACCAACAAAAACATCCAGAACAACAAAACATTTTAATAGAAGAAAAACATCCAGAACAACAATGTTTGGAACAACCAAAACAACAAAACTGCATTTTAAAAGAAAATACAAAAACAAAAACATCCTCTTCTCCTATTTTACAAAAACAACAACAAGAAACATCTTCCCCTCTTGTTTCTAAAAGATTTCAATTTGATGTAAACTCTTTGTTAGAGAAAAGTTGAGACAATGTTTAATTGACATGTTGTGATTGGAAACAAATCTTGATATGTTTGAGGGACACTAGAGTATGGGAAATAATTTTTTGAAATTTTTATTTTTTGAAAATAAAATTTTTTTGAATTTTCAAAAATGAAATTCAATATTAAAAAAAATTTTTTTTCTTTCCAATCACACTAGTCATACACCAAATAATAAGATTCTGTCTGATCATCCATCCTTTCTATCCTCAATTTTTACGGGTTCAACTAGGGCGTGGTCCCCAATTTTCTTTTTAATTTTAGAAATTTTTTTCTTTTTTTTCTGTTGCTTTAGATATATTCTTTATTTAATTTTGTATATATTTATTTACATATTTTGTATTTTCAATAGCATTTTCTTTTTTTTTCTTCACCCAAAATATTTAAAAAAATTCTTTCCCAACACCATTCCACCGATGAAAAATTAATTTTTATTATTCCAAATTTTAATATTTTCAATTTTTGTAAGACTTTTAAAAAATTTTGAATAAAATAAAAGAATTTTTAAAAAAATATTTTTTATTAAAAAAATCTGGAAAAACTCTCAAAAAATGATTTTTAGCCTGGAGGAATCGAACCATAGCCATTTTTTACTACAAACCTAAACCACTATCCATTACACCAAAACGACTGTTTAATAGAAAATTAATTAAATTGACTAAATTATTAATTCAACCGTAGAGATCAACTCTAAATAATCTGTTCAAAGAATTTTTTCTAAAATATCATTTTTTGATTCAAATTTTTCTAATAAAAATTTAAGTAAAATACAAGTTTTTTAGTAATTTAAAAATTTAAATAAAATTTTATTTGTCAGAAATATTTCTTAAAAGTATTCCAATTTGTACATTTGACTCTTTTAGTTGTGAGCACCAAGAACGAAGCTAAAAATGAAAGAATGTTCAAAAAATAGAAAAATTAAAAACATAGAAAAATCTACTTTTCTTTCCAAAATTGAGAAAAGAGATATTAGTGAAGATTTTTTTCGGAAGTTTTTTTATTGTGTTAAATAGAAGTCCATAAACTTTTTTTCAAATACATGTTTGTTTCATTTGGTATTAGCTAAAATTCAAAGGGAATAAAACTATTCTCTCTTTGTGAACAGGCTGGGCATTTAGCCAAACTTAGTTCGACATTTAACCCCATTTCACTATATCCACAAAAATATTATTTAAAAATCCCCTCTTCCCCCTTTACCTGTTCAAAAGACCCAATCATTGCCCAAACACGCAAAGAACAATGACTTCTACAAAAATTAAGTAAAAGTACATCAACATCTATTTGTTCACAACAACCAAATTGCCCATTAAACGTATTACAGTATTGGGATCTAAAAATAAAGATTGAGTGTTTTTTTAAGGATTTCTCTCTTTCCTTTAAAGTAATTTAATACTTTTAAAGAATAAAAAATTTATTATGAGAAAAAAAATTTTTTGTCGAGAATTCCGAAAAATTTTTTAGGAAACATTAAAAAGTACAAATATTTTCTTTATTTTTATAAACAGACACAAGTACATACATATATACAAATACTTTAAAAAATTATTCTTGTGTATATTCTTAAAATAAAAGGTAGGTATATTTATACAAAAATATTTAAGTCAGAAATAGTTCAGGCCAGAACACAAATTCAAAAATCAGAAACAAATTTTAAAACAACTATCTGACATGAAACCTCCCAAAAAGAAAATCATTTAGATCGAAAATTGTTTATACCAAATCTTGTTAGCCCCAATTTCTTTGTTAGAAAAATCAAAAAACGTTTTCCCCATCCTAGTTTCCTCCCCATCCAAAACTGAATAGTCCGAATATTAGAACAATTATCAGAATAAAAACAAGAGCAAAAACAACTTGTTCTTATTATAATCCCTCAACATTAAACCCCAAATTTTCCCTCTTCCCCTCTTCAAAATTACCTCAATTGTGTCAATTTCCCAAAAGCATTTCTAAATTGTTTATTTGTTGTGTGTAACATTAAAACATCTCTAGACTGATTTAAATCAAAATTTTGTTGTTTTGATATAATTGAAGAAGAATTACTACAACAAGTATTCCCCCCTCCTCCCCCTCCTTCTAAACTTAAATTTGAAGTTTTAAAAGAATCTAAAGAGGATGAAGTTGATAAATGTGAAAGCAATTCTTTTTGGAGAGAAGCTACTGCTGGGGTTAAATCTGACTCCTAAAAATTAAAAAAAATTTTTTTGAGGTTATTTTTAATTTTACCTGAGAATTATTAAAATTCTGAACAGACAAACACATTTCAATAAATTTTTCAACAACTAGCAATAATTGAAAACAAAGTTTGTGTAAAGATTTGTATAAAAGAAACTCCTGTTAAAAAATTAAGAGTAATATTAAACTTGTAAAATACAATCTAAAAACAGAATAAAAATCAGAACAAATAATAAACAAAATTAATTATTGATATTAGACAAAAAACAGAACAAATATACAAACAAAACAAGTAGCAATTAATATCAGAACAAGAAACAAACAAAATAAAAATCAGAATAAAACAACAAACACAACAACAATAACAACAGAATATCAAAACAATTATCAAAATAACAACCAGAACAAAAACACACACAAAAAACACACAACAACCAGAGTAAAACACACACACACACACAAAATCAGAATAAAAACCAGAGCAAAAACACAAATCAGGAATCTAAATAATCAGAATATCAGAATCTTTAGGCTATCAAAACAAAAATCAGAACACAAACAAAACATCCAACAACAAAACAAGGTCAACAAACAAATCAAAACTAAACAATAAACAAACAAAACATCCAACTACAAAACAAGGTCAACAAACAAAACAAAATTAAAACAACAAACAAACAAACAAACCTGATTTTTAATAATTTGGAATTGTTGATTAAAAGAATTATTAATTGTTGATGTTGTTGTTAAACTAGAAGTTGTTGTTGTTGTATCTCCAAAATTACTTTTATTTTCGGCTCCACTAATTAATAATAATTTTTGTGATGTTTTGACCATATTAAGAGCCTTTAAATTAAAATAAATTTTTCCCATAATTTTTCATTTTTTCTTTATTTTATTTTTAACGCTTTCCATGTGTCTCCTATTTTGTATATTTTTTTTTAATTTTTGAAATTTGAGAGATTAAAAATAAAATATAGGTTAAAAATGGACACATTTTCCCTCCTCTCCCTTTTATTTTCCAAAAATGTAAGGATTTTTCTTTTTATTTTAAAGCAATAAAAGTATAAAATGACTCTTTCTGAAAATTGCCAAGTGACAACAAGAAAAATAAATAAAAATACCGACAAGAAAAGAAAAATCTCAAGAGTAAAAAAATGATGATGACCGGTTAAAAATGAAATAATAAAGAAATAATGAGAATAAATTATTAAAGAAAAAAGGATTAAAATTTAAAATAAAAACACACAAGGTGTGTTTTTAAATAATTATCAGAAAAAGTAAATAAAAGAAAACACAAAAGAAACAATTTAAAAATCAGAATATTAAAATAGAAAAATTAAAAAGAAAAATACAAAAACCAGAATTTTGGAAAATAAAATACAGAAACACAAAGAAAATACAAAAATCATAAATAGAGAGTAAATTATTAAAGAAAAAAGGATTAAAATTTAAAATAAAACACAAAGGTGTGTTTTTTATATGATTAACAGAAGAAATAAAAGAAAACACAAAAGAAAAAGAGAATTTAAAAATCAGAATATTAAATTAATAAAAAAAGAAAATACAAAAACCAGAATTTTGGAAAATAAAATACAGAAACACAAAGAAAATACAAAAATCAGAAATCTTAAAAAGAAAACACAAAAATCAGAATTTTTAAAAACACAACAACGAGAAAAAACACAAGTTTTTAATGTTGTAAATCAGTTTAAGAATTAAAGACTGGGTAAAGAGAAAATTAAAAAATCAGGATAAATAATTTTTTCAGAATTTTAATTAATTTTTTTCAGAATTTAATTAAAACAAAATACAAACATACCCTTAATGATTGTTCATAATGTTCATTAAATGCCTTAAAATTAAAATACACTTTTTAAGATTAATTCTAACACTAAAAATAAAACAAACATCAAAATGTTCACGAAGTTCAAATAAAGCAATTTTTATTGAATCGAGTAAATTAGAAGAATTAATCTAAAAAAATTAATGAATTAATTTTTAAAGAAAAAACTCACAAATTGGGAAGATACAAACAGGAAAGGACATTCAACAAATTTTAAAAGAAAATTTAGAGAACGTAAAAATAATTGGGAAATATCTGTAGACATTTTTTGTTGTTGAGAATAATTAAAAATATCCAAAGAATCCCTCAAAATACGAACAAGAAAAATACTTTTCTCCTTAAAAAATTTTTTTAAATAATTAAAAAATATTTTTTAATTTACTCGAAAAAGTTGTGTTAATAAAATAATTGAATTTGAAATTATTATTCCATTTTGATCGTTGTCTAAGTGAGAAATTAAATTATTCCATAAATGTTCAACCTGAAAATGTTTTAAAATTAATATCAGAAATAAAATACAAATTAAAGAGAATACACAAATCAGAATTATAATATTATATTAAAAAAGAAATACAAAAGAAAACACAAAAACCAGAATTCATTTAAAACAACAATTAAAACAAACAAACCAGAAACAGAAAAACACGAAAACCAGAATTTAAAACAAACACCAGAAACACAAAAATCAGAATACAAAACGAACAAAGAAAAAACAAAAACATCAGAATCTACCTAATTTAAATCAGAATAAATAAAAAATACAAAAGCAGAAACCGGAATTATAATATAACAAAACACAAAAATACATATAAATCAGAATAATAAACAAAACAAACAACAAAACACAAACATATTAAAAATCAGAATTTAAAACAAACATATAAAAACACAATTTTCTATTAATAAATTATTAAAACACAAACCATTCCAGAAATATGATGTGAACATTCCAAACGCAAATAATTATTTTGTTGTTGTTGCTGTTCTTCATCAAAACATTTTGTATTTTGTTGTTGTTTAAATATTTGTTGTTGTTGTTGTATTTCAGAAAATAAAGGAATAATAGAATGTGTTGTTGTTGTATGTAATGAATTTGAATGTTGGGAAGAAGATTCTGCGCTAGAATTTCTTCTTCCAATAAGTTTGTGTTGTCTTGTTGTATTTATTGAAGGTGATATTGTGGATGTTGTAGAAGAAGAAGGGAATTGTTGTTGATTTTGTTGTTGTTTTCTTGGGGATATTGAAGACAACAAAATTTTTGAAAATTTTTTATTTTCTTTTCTTCTCATTACAACCATTTTGTGTTCTTCCATTAATTGATTATTCTCTTGATTATCACCCCCACATATTCTCATTAAATTTGATTCACGTCTCAACTCGCTCTCTTCTTTTCTTCCCCCCACAATTTCTCTTCTTCCCCCACCCATTTCTTCATCTTCCTCGACATCTTCCCCTCCTTCATCCTCTTCCTCAATATTTTCTCGTTGTTGCTGTTGTTGCTCTCCTTCCGAAGCAAATTCCGAACTACTTTCATCACTATGATGTGTTGATTGTATTGGTGTACGATCAGAAGAAACATCATTAGAATCACTAGCACCGCTTAAAGGTCTTCGAATTAATGTGAAGGAAGATTCTCTTTCTCCCCCTCCTTCTCTTCCCCCTCCTCCTTTTCTTCTTCTCCTTCTTATATTTGTAGCTATATTTTTGTGTAACCCCCCTCCACCACCTCCTCCACTTCCTCCTCCAACACTTTCCAAAGAAGAATGTCTATTACAACAACTACTATTAGTCCCTCCACTTCTAAACGATTTTGGAGAATAAGGATCATCACAACGAGTATTATTATTTGAATTATTACTATCCAAATCATTATCTTCATAAAACTCTTCTTCATCGTCACCAAGTTCGTCTTGATCATTTTGTGTGTTTATGTCGTTAATTTCAGAGCAGACCCTGTATTTTAATTGAAGAAACATTATTTCAAAGTTCAGAGACGTAGTTCACGTCTATGACAAATGGGGATGTAGTGCTTAAACCTAGTTAAAAATATGGACATTTTCCCCCTGAAAGAAGTACATAAATAAGTATAGAATTGTTGTTTGTTGGATTAAGAAGTTTATGTTTAGATTAGAGAACAAGCCCAGTTATATACAAACTAGAAACCGAACTGGCCAAGGCCTTGGTTTTGTACCCAGAGCACCCTCGCATTTTTAATTTGCAAAATAAAAGCTCAAATACCAGCCCAGAATGTCCAGTCATTCAGCTAAGGTCAAGTCCAGAATCCGGACCAAGAATTTTTAAAAGTCTCAGAATTTTCAGGACCCAGAACAACCAATATCTAAATTATGAGAGATCCTAATCTATTAATATTTAAAACTATTGAGACTATAAGACCAGCACAACAACATAATTATTGCTAAATTAAACATCTAGAAAAATAAAAAGCTTCATTCCGACCTAGGAGTTCTCATTGTAGATAACCAATTAAAACAACTTTCAGCCGATTCAGACACAGAATCATGTTCAGCTTCAAGAAAATCAAATTCTTTAAAAACTCTAGGGAAAGAGTCTGTTGTTCGTAAAGATATTAATTCACAACTATTTGCACTAGAATGGTGGTCTTGTTGTAATAAATTTCCACCTCCTCCTCCTCCTCCTAATGATGGTCCTCCACCACCAAAACTTTTTGGACTTGACATTCTATCTATATTTGGTTGTTGATTTGTTTTTGTTGAGTAATCATCTTTTGATTCTGGCTTTAAATTTGATTGTTGCTGATGTTGTTTTTGAATATTTCCCCCTTCTTTCTCTTCAATATTTATATTAATTAATTGATCTTGTTGAATGTCAGTAAAGGATTTTGATAAAAGCTGGAAAAAAATTAAAATATTATTTCATTGTAATTTTTGGCGAAAAATAAAACACCTTTTTAGGATTTTTTAGACCCAACAAATTCAATTCCAAAAACCCTAACTCGAATCAATTCTTAGCTATATTTGAATAATTATTACACCAAATAAAAGCTATGGATCGAGAATCATGTCGATAAGAAAAAAATAAACTCCTAATTTAGAAATTCACGACGGTAGGTTCTCTGCTCTCATGTAGCAAATAATATTCCTAGCAAGATTACTCTATTCATCGTAGAGTAATCTTACTAGGTCTCTTAATAGCTATAGCCCAGCTGCTTTACTAAATTAACAAAGTTGATATCCGAATTATGCCGTCTGCTTTATGCCCTTCCACGTTTTGTTATTTTACACAAACTAATTTTAACCAAAAAAAAAACTCACCGAAAGATGTCTAGTTGCACCAATAGGGAGTCCAAAAGTTGAAAATAAAGTTAAAAGCTTTTTTCTGATCTAAAAAAGGGAAAAAAATTTCAAATAAATTTTAATCACACCTTTTGTCTTGAACTACCAAACGAATCCAAAGAAGACAATTTATCAACACTAATTTCGTGTAAAAAGGGTTTTTCAAATCGAATTTCAAATTCTGGCTTTCTTTTAGCCAAAAAATCTTTCTTTAAAAATTTATTTTTTAAAGAAAAATTTTATTTATTTTTACCTCATTTTGGGAAATTTTATCAACAGAAATAGCATTCCATTGTTCCAATATAACTTTAAAAATACGCGAAGCTTCTCTAGAACTTGAACCATGAATGTGTTTAAAAATTGTTTTGACAATCTATAAACGCAAAAAAATATTTTTGTATGCGGGAGGGATCGACACAATATATCGATAGAAAATATCGATATATCGATACCGATATTATTGAACGACCACTAAATTCCGGTCTCTAATGTTTACTAGGAACCAAGCTTTTCTGATTCCAAATTCCCTGATGCTTACGTTGTGAAGCAGAAAGATTTCTCATTTTCACCCTTCCCCCATCTTTTCATTCCTACATTTTTTTTAAAATCAGATAGGTAAAAATCAGATAGGAAAAATTAAATGGAAAAATTAATTGGTATCCGTATCCGGATATTTACGGCGGATACGGACGGATACAGACGGATATCCGCAGGCATTTTGATATTATTTGTATCCATATCCGTATCCGTGTGCAAGTCTGGATTCTAGTACTATATGTCCAAGCAATCATTTCACCTTTCTGGACTTTAATTTTTCCTAACCCGACGACCAGAAATTTAAGTTTAAACCAGAGCTGCGTCGAAATTTCGATTTTCGACGTTTTTTCTTTCGATTTCCGAATTTCGCAGATTTTTTTATATCGACGCAGCTCTAGTTCAAACTCTACCATTTAAAAATCCAATTCCAACTAAGTAAATACCTGAGAATTAAAATAAGCTGGAGGGCAATTATTTAAATTTCCATAATTAAATAATAACAGCAACATATCCAATAGACTAGAATGTAAAGCTATAGGACTTCTTTCAAGCATTTCAGTCAAAACAATAATTAATTGAAAAGTATCAGGTTTAAAAGCATCCAATAAATAATTAATTACACATTTAGTCCATTGGGGATGGTCACGAGGAAATTTTTGTTCTCGATATTGGTCCATCATCTATGCATTTAAAAAAAATAAAATTAATTTTAATGCAAAATTTTTGAAGAAACTAAGCGAGCTTCCACCCAAAAGGGAGTAGTATAAAATCACAAAATGGGGAAGAATGTAAGAGGTAATGGTGATAATAATTTCTTATATTTTCTTAGATAATAATTTCCTCAGTCATACACTAGCCTTCACATCTATTAACAAGTTCTAGGAGTTTAATTCACGATTGGTCTTTAATCAATCGCCCGTTCTTAGTGCCCACACTAAGAAGGAATGAACTTCCACTCAAAAGGGAGTAGTTTTACGTTCTTCCCAAATTAGTAGCTAGCTTTACATTATTCCCAAAAGGGGAAGAACGTAGAGATAACGGTGATTTATTAACAAGTTCTAGGATCCTATTCTTAGTGCCCACATTTAGGTAGGCTGATACAGATCTCTGCAAATCTCCTAAACTTTAAGTTCAGGTATCAGACCCGAACACCCGAAATTTTCCAGAATCCGCCAACCATAGCCTTCACATTTATTCACCCTCTACTCAATCTAGCTCCTATAATTAAGGAAAACTCACAGTAATCAAATTAGAAAGAGGATGGTCAGAAAAAGTATCCAAATTAACTCCTTTTTCCTTTGAAAGTTGATCAAGTTCTGTTCGACAATGCTGAAAAAATAATTTAAAAAAAAATATTTTTTAATAAAAAAATACAGTTGCAATAGATTGTGCAAGCTTAGAACACAGCGAAGTTGGGGAATTGAAGTTTTGAATACAATAGGGTAATGAAGCTGGAAAAAAATTAATTAAAAAAATTTTTAATAATCAAAAGTTACCAGTCACAATCAAAGCAAAAGATTCTTTTGAATTTGAACAAACAATTTTTTGATTTAAATTTAAAAGGCATTTTGAAAATATTGAAATAGAACATTCATAGCCGTGAAAAGGGTAGAGAATACCTGAAACAATTGAATGTTTAAAACAACAGAAACAAAACATGTTTTGTTTAGAAAAAATAGGAAACATGTTTCAAAGAAACACAAAACATATGTTTATGTAATCTTTGTTTGTGTGTGTTTTAAAGGGAAAAAACAAAACATTTTAACAAAAACAAAACTTTTAACTGTTTAACTGTTTTGTTAAAATGTTTAGGTTGTTAAATGTTTTGTTTATTCCAAACATGTTTTTGTTCAAGTTTTAAGTTTTTAATTTGTTTGTGTTTTTATGTTTTGTCATGTTTTAAAGAAAGTTTGCTTGCTTTTACTTCAAAACAAACAAAGTATCCACAAAACCAACATGTTCCCAACAAGTTTATTTAAAATAAACATAAAAACAAAAATTGAAGAAACATATACCTTTCAAAGCTAAAGCAACAATTTCAGTGTTGTTAGGCAACTCCCAACTTTTATTTACAATTTCTTCCAAACGAACAAGAAATTCAAAACGTTGATTTCCACTAGCTTGTAAAATCTAAAAAAAAATTTTTTTTTAATTTTAAATTTTTTTTTAATTTTTAACAAAAATTAATCACTCCCCACCTTATCAAAAGTATGTAATCCAATTAAAAATTCATTATCTACATTAGATTCCAACATTAAAAGAGAAATTGTAGCAATTTGAGAAAAAGCTAATATATTTTCTTCAGTTAAATATAAATTTGTTTCATTATTTATTTTTGGCATTGATGCACTTTTACTTCTTTTTAATGGTGTTTTGTTGTTTATATCAAAATTACTTGAAAGTAGGAGAGAGTGCCGAATATCTGAAAATATATTTGATAAACTGTAGCTCATGTAAGGTGGAAGAGGGGGAGATCCGAAGCTCCTGTAGCAACAACTGCCAGGAGGTTTCCAACGATCGCAACCTCCCCAACGCTAAACTTTCGTTTTTATTTTCACTTACATTAGAAACAATAATAATGAGCTGATGCATTAAGTCGTCCTATAGGTTATGTCTATCAAAATTTATATAGGCTCTGACCTGAGTCAGAGCGATAAAAGGAGGGAATGGAACGAGGAAAATTTTCTGGAAGTAAAATTTTTATAAACAAGACTGGAAACTTCCCAAGCAGTGTTTGGAATTTTAAAAATTGCCTGTAGTACAGGCCTGTTTTATTTTCTCGTACACAGATATGAGTACTAATTTTGGTACGAACTTCCAAACAGTGCTCCTAAGTCCTCAAGTATTAGTCAAATTAAAAAATATCACCACCTTTCTTCTCATCCTTTTTATTTGCTTCTAACGGCTCCCAAAAATTCCGAGTATAACTTATTGAACGACAATGTCCATTAGAAAATGTTTTTGAATTATTATCGACAGATTGTACCATTCGTTGAAGGCAAATAAATAATTCTTTTGAGAAAAAAAAAATAATTTTTTTTTCAAAATTTTAAAAAATTACCAATAATAAAGCTTTGTGTTTCATCATTATTTTCAGAAAATATATCAACTAGACGTGAAATTAATAATGGAATAAAAGGTACAGGGCTAGTGCCCAACGATCCAGCAATTTGAAATGAACGACCTAAAATTTTTTCAGAATTTGAATAGAACATGTTCAGAAAAATCAGAATTTAAATAAAACATGTTTTAAAAAATCAGAATTTCGATAAAACATGTTTTAAAAAAATCAGAATTTAAATTAAACATGTTTTAAAAAAATCAGAATTTCGATAAAACATGTTTTAAAAAATCAGAATTTAAATAAAACATGTTTTTAAAAAATCAGAATTTAAATAAAACATGTTTTAAAAAATCAGAATTTCGATAAAACATGTTTTAAAAAAATCAGAATTTAAATTAAACATGTTTTAAAAAAATCAGAATTTAAATAAAACATGTTTTTGAAAAATCAGAATTTAAATAAAACATGTTTTAAAAAATCAGAATTTAAATAAAACATGTTTTTAAAAAATCAGAAGTTCGATAAAACATGTTTTAAAAAAATCAGAATTTAAATTAAACATGTTTAAAAAAATCAGAATTTCATGTTTAGTTTATTGTTGTTTTAAAACTTTAAAACATGTTTTTAACATGTTGCATGTTTCAGATTTTTTCCCTCGCGTTCAAACATGTTTTCAAGTTTTAAAAACAAAAAACATTTTACTTCATTTTTGTAAAATTTCAGAAATTAATTTAAACATTGCTTTTTACAACATATTAACAACATAAAACATACCAAAATAATGTCTATTCGAAATATTAAAAGCAAAATGAATAGCAAATTGGGTCCAATTTGTTGCCAATTCTGGTAATTTTGTATGAAGAAAATCAACTAAACGTTGAACAAAACGTCCAACATATTTAGAACTTTCAGTAATCCAACACCTTTGGGTTGTATCTTCAAAAGTCCACAAACTTGTATTTTTGCTTAAAAAATATTGGGAAAAAATTAATAATTAGAAAGGTTCAATATGTCCAAATTTAGCAATATCCATTTAAAATCCCATTAAAACAGGGCTCTCATCGACAAAATGCCACTCAAAAGTATCAAAATCTTGATAAAAAAGTATATAGGGAGAAAATTTCCAAATTTAAAGTATACTCCAAATTAAATTGGAAAATATTTATTCGTCCTCAAATCTTTTATATTTCTCTCCTAAATTAATCTTTTCTAATAATTTCTTGCTTCCACTGAGCATTTTGTGCATTTCAACGCATGACATGTCAAAATTCGCTGATCAAGCAAATTAAATACTTTCATCCATTTTCAGCGCCACAGGCGAAAATTTTGATAACCTGGATTCGAACCCACCACACGAAATTTCTAGGTAAGCAAATTCAGTCAACCTAACCACTCAACCACCGACCTACATAATGAATGTGAAAGAAATTATAAATAACTCTTTCCCTTTTCCTTAAAATAATTTTATTTCGAAGTAGGAGAGTGTTTTTTAAAAATAAAAGGTCTAAAAAAGCCGTCTTTAGGGGTGAGTCCATCCCTGATAACTTCCGCAGATAACTCCACAAACACTCTTGATCCTTAAATATCGTGCCCAAATTTCACATTTTGGAGTTCAAGAAGCCAGATTTCTTCCATCTTCAGCGCCGCAGGCAAAAATTTTTTGAAATTTGGAGCCCAAGAAGCCAGATTTCTTTCGTTTTCAGCGCCGCAGGCGAAAATTTTGATAATTTCGAAGGCCCAAGGCTAAAAAAATTAACTTTTTTGTCCAATCCCTTCCCCAATTTCATTCTCAATCAAAAATGTTGATTTCAAAGTATATACTTTCAATAAAGTATAAATTCAATTTCTTAAGTATGGAGGTCGGTTTCAAAGTATAATACTTTCAAATAAAGCACGAATGAGAGCCCTGCATTAAAATAATGAAACTTTTTGTTATTCATTGGTTATAAAAATTTAAATTTTTTTCGAAAACCCGAAAAATATCGAATTTTTTTCTATATTTTTAGGCACAATTGAAAAGGGACTACATTTAATTATAAAGGGGTATTCTTGAAAAAAATTTGGGCTCAGATATGGGAGACCCTCATCGTTAGCACCTAGAGTGGAAACCGCGAACGTTTCCAAATATTTTCATCATCGCCCAAATTCGTGTTTTTAAAACTCTTTTTTCGAATTATATGTCCATAAGAGGAGTCGAACCCCACAACATCGAATACAAGAGGGAAAGCCAACCCACTTAACCACAAGTTATCTTACACGTTCGATTTATTCTCGGGTAAAAAGCAATACAGAAAATCAAGTACCAATCTACCCTCTCCAAGTAAACTTGAATTTAAGGCCCTAATTCTAATTTGGTTCGATTGTTCATATAGAAATGATTTTTTAGAGAGTCTTGGATTCGAAATTAAAGAGAAAGAGCTCTTGCAACAGCTCCATAATATTATAGTAGATTACCCCACAAAAAACCACCCAAAAATTATTTAAAAAAAAAGAATCAAAAACTCACTTTTGAGAAAGGCAAAACAATAAACATTTTAATAATTCAGTTTTAGAACAAAATAGAGCATCTACAGCAAATAATTGTTCTTTATAATAATTTGGAATTAAATTTAAATTATTTAAATATTTTTCTTTATTATTATTTAAATTATTGTAAGGAGAATTTCCAATACTTTCACTTGCTAAACTTGAATTTTCAGCATTATTTGTTGCTGATGTTGTTGTTGTTAATATTCGATTAATACGCCCATTATTATTTGTTGTTGTTGTTGTTGAATTATTTAAATTTAATCCAACTTCATCCAGATTTGATTCTTTTATATTTTCTTGATTTCTTAGCTAAAAATAAAGTCTTAAAAATCGTTTAAAAAGTACCGGATTTCTTCTAATAGAGCGACTCTCTCTATTAGACCGACCCCTTCTAATAAACCGACCCTCTAGAGGATGGTTAAAAAATAAACCGACCGGTCGCACTATTAGAAGAAATACGGTAGTAGATTCAAAAACCCCGAAGGAACGGACAATATTGAAATTAGTTAAGACAAACAAAATTAAAAGGATACGGTCTCAAATAGAATTAATCGTCAATCGAGATCCCAGAGATCCATATATGACATTTAATTCTATTCGAGACTTTTATCACTATAGACTTGACTAAATTAATTACATCGAGACTATAGGGCTTTATTAAAGGACTTCATTATATAATTATACCGAAGTCCTATGGCGATAAGGGTCTCGAATAGAAATAATCGTCATATATGGATCACGGGGATCTCGGACAGTACTTGGAAATGTGGATTGGTAAATTGAAAAAATTAAAAACCAATACTTGGAAGTATGAGAGCGAATTTGGTACCAAAATGCCAAAAAAATTAGAAAGGTATGAGTACGCTGGAAAAAAGCTTGTACCATACGAGCTATTTTTAAATTTCCAAAAATTTTCAAATCCGAAGCCGAAATCCCAGAGATCCATATATGACATTTAATTCTATTCGAGACTTTTATCACTATAGACTTGACTAAATTAATTACATCGAAACACTTCGTCATATCAAAACACACCATAGGACGCTATTAAAGGACTTCATTATATAATTATACCAAAGTCCTATGGAGATAAGGGTCTCGAATAGAAATAATCATCATATATGGATCGCGGGGATCTCGGGATCTCAAACGAGGATCTCAATCCATCTTGAAAGTATGGATTGGTAAATTGAAAAAATTGAAAACCAATGCTTGAAAGCACGTATCAAGATACTCATACTTGCATATGTTAAAAAGGTGAGTACGTTGAAAAAAAGCTTGTACCATACGGGCAAAGTTTAAATTTTCAAAAATTTCAAAATATCCGAAGCCGAGATCCCCGAGATCCATATATGACATTTAATCAAATTCGAGACTTTTATCATTATAAGACCTCATTATAATTAATTACAACAAAACACTTGATAAAAAATTTACAAAATAATCAGACATAATAAAAATTAAGTGTCCCTAAAGATAGATACCAGAAAATTTTAGATTTCAGATTTAAACTTTAGCTAATATTGGACAAGTCTACATTTATAAAAAAATATTTTAGAAAAAAGAGACTAAATAACCATAAAATACGATATTAGATTTTAAAATTCGAATTTATTTCGAATTCGAAATTCTTATTTTTCAAAAAAATTATTTTAGAAAAAATTATTTTTCTCTTTTATAAGATTAAATACTTATATTTAAATAATCTGTTAGAAATAGGAGGAATAATAAATACTTAACGGATTTCATTATATAATTATATCGAAGTCCTATGGTGAAATGGGGTTCGAATAGAAATAATCTTCATATATGGATCGCGGGGATCTCGGAGGTTGAAAATTCCAAGGTTTGGAAGGCTTGGAAGAAAAATTAAAAAAACTTCCTTCCAAGGCTTAGAAACATGTCCTCACGAAGGTCCTCACATTTACGAGCTAGTCTTTAATTACCAGATATCTGAAGTCGAGAACTAATGGTCCATATATGACTTAATTCTATTCGAACCCCTTGTGGACTTTATTGTCATTAATTTAGAACCAGCATACAGGGAAACGTTACCACATTGAAAATCGTAACTGTAAACTATATCCTAATTTTTTAAATTTGGAATTAAAAAAATAAACAAGAAAAGCCTTATTTAAAAAGGTTATTTTAATATTGCCTGATTTTTAAGTAGAGTTGTAGCAACTTGAACAAGAGAAACATCATCAGCTATAAACATTAAACAAATATTAATAATTATTTGGCGTGAATGGAAGCAAATTATTTTATCATTAGAATCCAAATTAATAACAGCAATGTGTAATAATTTTGGAATATAATCATTCCAACCAATTGAAGTTTTTAATCCAATTAAATCACAAAGTAAAAAGAGTGACATATGGCTTCTTAAATTAAAAAAAAATATTTCAAAAATAAAAATGGCAAAAAAAAAGGAATTAAATCAATGTTAAAAGTTAACAAAGTCTGAGGCTCGTAGGAGAATCTAAATCAGTATCTCAAAAAGATCATCCACACCGAGATTTGTATTAAAGATCTCATCTTGGGCCGAACTCCAATGAATAGTTAAATATTAGTGTTGTTCGAAAAAATTAACCGTTACACCTCCACCTTTTTCTAGTTTATCGGTTAAACGATCATGAACAACCATAGTGAATATTCAAACGAGAAAAGAATAGCTTGGGGAATCGCTTCGACTTGGAATCCACAAATTATTCATTTACCAGTAGAAATTCAAAAAAAATTTTTACCTCGAAAGTAAACATCCATTATTATTATTATTATTTTGTGGTTGAAAAAGTAAAGAAAGTCTTGAATAATTACCACCATATGGAGGCATTGGTAATTGTTTTGGAATAATTTTTAATAAAGAATTTAATGTTGGAGTTGTTAAATCTTGATTATTTATATTTTTTTCTTCACAAAATTCTTCTTCAATTACTTCATTATTATTATTTTCCTCAATTTTATTTTCAAAATTTTCTTCTTTTTTTGTTTCATTTTCCCAACGATAAAATGGGGGCATTTCTGATCGGCACAAAAAATGTTTAAATGGTTTTCCAACATTTTCTAAATTATTTACAAGTAATGAAACAAATTCTTCACCACAAGCTTCAAGAATATAAGAGGATATTTTCTTTGCCTTTAAATTTAAAAAAATTCTGATTTTAATTTGTTAACAATTCGTATGTTTGCTACAAGGTTTATATAAAATTCTGATTTTTTAATTTGAAAATTTTTACAAATTCTGATTTGTAAATTCTGGTTTTTATAAATGTTTTGTTTGTAAAATTTTGTTTTCCGAATTAAAATAAAAACTTGTGTTTTGTGAAAAAAAATCAAAATTCTGATATTTTTAAAAACATGTATAAAATCAGAATTTTATCCGAACAAAAACTTAAACACGTAGTAACAAACAAGTTCATATAAAATTCTGATTTTTAGTTTTTTAAATTTTGAGAACATAATTCTGGTTATTAAATGTTTTGTTAAAATTCTGATTTGTAAATTCTGATTTCTAAACTTAAAATAAAAATTCTGAAACATTTTATAAAAACATTATAAAATCAGAATTTAATCCGAACATCCTTCAAAACATAATTAAAAAATTGTTTTTCTTTTCTCTAACTTACCAACGGAAGCATGTTTTCCAACGACAGAGAAATCATCATAAAAAGATAATGAACAATAATAGGCAAGTTTGTTGTTTTAAAATTTGTTGCCAAACATTTCCACAATTCTCTAATTTCTTTATCATGTTCACAACTTAATTTAGCCGTTAAAAACAACAAATTGTTTAAAAGTAGTTGTGTTGCTTCTTCTGAACCCCAACCGCTTTCCTCTTTGTTTTCGTCTTTGCCTTCTTTTAAGGGTAAATAAATATCACAATAATTATCAACCAAAACAATATTTTTTATCCATTCATGCAAAAATATTAACATTGATACTTGTCTATTTGGACGTGCAGTTTCTATTCTTGAACAAATTTCTAAAATTAAAAAATAAAAATTTTTTAAGTTTAATTTAACGTGTAAATATTCTAATAGAAGCCCACTCAATCATACAAACCGGAAACTCCCTTCCCTCGTCCAGAAAAGTCTCGAGTTAAAAATCAAAAAAAAAACTCTTGGATAACTCTATCAACAGATACAAACTAGAGATCGGTATTTTCAAAAATCCTGGATCTGAGAATTTGGGGTATTGACCTGGACAGGATTCCGGATCCAGGAAAAATCCAGACCGGATCCATCCAGACCGATCTCTAATATAAACAAGAATTAAAAAAAACTCTACCAGAAAAAATAGGCATAGTAAGTTGAGAATATTGTTTAGCTAATTGTTGACTAATACATGTTTGGCTTATTGAAAAATAACTTGAAAAAATTCAAAATTTATTTTTTAATTCTCTCCTTACTTAGTTTTAACCTCCAAATTATTTATTACCCCAACATTTTTATTGTGTTCATCCACAATTGAAGACAAATTTAATGGAGATAAATTAATATCCAAAAATTGTCTTTTTAAAAGTGAAATAAATAAATAGGTTGTTTGACGAATTGAAGAATCTTCTGCATCTGAAGCAAATGTTCCACAAAGACATAAAAGTGAAATAAATTCACATGGATATTCTCTTTAAAAAAAGAAATTTTTTTTTAATAAATTGGGGGTCTGGCAATGTTTGTATGTCCCATAATACACTGCTCCACATAATTATAAGTCCACCCTTTTTTTCGGGATTTTTTGCCTCCCAGTGATCCAAATTTTCTGAAAATTTAGAAACACACCTTTTAGTGAATAACTAACAAGGTGTGATTCGATTTTTGGCTGAATTTTTATTTAAAAAATTTTTAGACCAAAATTTGCATTTTCGGCCTCCACAAAATTATAAGTCCACTTTTCAAAAAAGATATTTCCAAGTTTAGGAAAAATCTACCAAAAATCCAGCAAAGATACATAATAATATTATGAAAAAATAAAAAAGAACTAGACCCATATCTTTTCCTGGAACCGAGATCATGAGACCCCGAAAATCAACGTAAAACGGGGGTAAGACTCTTTAAAAATTTTTTCGACCCCTTATCGATTATGTTCAATTTTGATTTTGGGCTCATTCGAAAGCCCTTGAAATTTGCTACAAGATAGCATTAATGATATTTTATAGAAAATTCGATTAGAAAGATACGGGCCGCTAATCTTCTGATGCAGCAAAAATCGTCTAAATACCTCATAAAATGCCTTATAATGACACCTAGAAAGTTTATCGTCTTGTGTCTCTCTATGGAATTTTTCTGAGAAATAAGACTAATGCTATCTTGTAGCAAATTTCAAGGGCTTTCGAATGAGCCCAAAATCAAAATTGAACATAATCGATAAGGGGTCGAAAAAATTTTTAAAGAGTCTTACCCCCGTTTTACGTTGATTTTCGGGGTCTCATGATCTCGGTTCCAGGAAAAGATATGGGTCTAGTTCTTTTTTATTTTTTCATAATATTATTATGTATCTTTGCTGGATTTTTGGTAGATTTTTCCTAAACTTGGAAATATCTTTTTTGAAAAGTGGACTTATAATTTTGTGGAGGCCGAAAATGCAAATTTTGGTCTAAAAATTTTTTAAATAAAAATTCAGCCAAAAATCGAATCACACCTTGTTAGTTATTCACTAAAAGGTGTGTTTCTAAATTTTCAGAAAATTTGGATCACTGGGAGGCAAAAAATCCCGAAAAAAAGGGTGGACTTATAATTATGTGGAGCAGTGTATTTGTGGAAAGTAAAAAAAAATAAATTTTTAAATTTAAAAATAAATTTTGTCTAAAACAGAATGACTGGCCGAGGAATAAATTAGAATGACCGGCAATAACATATGTATGACCGGCAAACGGGGCTGTCCCCAATTGCGGTTGCGGAAAATTTTTTCACTTGAGGACAGCCCTGCCGGCCAAGCCATAACCCACCGGCCCCTATTTTTTAAGATTTTGTCCACATATTTTTTCCTGGATCCAAATCTTGTCCACATTTTTTCCTGGAGGATGACTTTGTAGTGAATATTCCGTATATTTTCCAAGTCAATCGAGTTTCAAAGTCAACGAGATCCCCCAGACCCATATATAATGATTATTTTTATTCGAGTTCCCTATCACTATAGTACTCGATTATAGTTAATTTAGAGCTACGGGCAGGCCATGTTATCACTGTAAAAAGAATTACACGATAACAAGTCATGGATGTAGCTTCTAAATTATCAAGTACTCTAGTGATAAAGAACTCGAATAGAAATAATCAGCATATATGGATCTGGGGGATCTCGATTGACTTTGAATCGCGGTTGAATTGACTTTGTGGGGCTCATACCCAGACAACCCCCCCCCCCCCCAAATAATTTTTAAAAATTTAAAAAAAACCTTTGAGAAAAAAGCAAAGCCAAAGAACGAAAACAACGTGAACCAACAAGCTCGTCTTTTATGTAACACATTTGTAAAACTTTTTCAAATAATTGAGGATAATTTTCGTTTAAATGGAGCATTGTACAAAGCAATTCTTCACAAATTCCGTTAATCTTTAAAAAAAATGAATTCTTGATATGAAAAAAATATTTGAATTTTAAAAGGACATAAGAGACACTCTCCTCAATTTCTCCCTGGATATATACCTGACTTGTTTAAATTCTGTAATTATTTATAGATCGGTATAGGTTTTTCTTGTACCCATTTCAGGGTTGCTTGTCATGCCCAAAAATGCCAGCCAGGGGCCTATTTCAATATCAGCCATTTGCCATCGTCAGAAAAATCTGTTGCAATAATTTTGAAGGGTAATGGCGGTTTTCTGTTGCAATATCCGCCATTCTCGAAAATGGCATGATGACATGACATTTCTAGCAAATGGCGGATATTGCAATACCCACCGGGCAATGGATTTTCAGCCTGATTTACTAAGATTTTAGGAATAGTATCTAAACTAAAATTGTAACGTCTTAAAAGATAAGTCCCCAAGATTCTTTTTCGACATATTTTGACGGATATTACTTAAACAATAGATATCTATTAGAGATCGAGATTTTTGAAAAGCCTGGGCCTGTTCCTGGTCTCTCGGGTTTGATTTATTGACCAGGGCCGGATCCGGAGTATAGGAAAAACCTTGGAAGGTCAAAAAATGCCTGGGCCTGGACTCAGGGTAAAGGAAAACCCCAGGCCTTTGTCCAGACTCAGCTCGTTCTCTAATATCCATCAATTAAACCAAAAAAATATTTTTTTAATTTAAAAAAGGAACCGTAGAATTATTAGAAGACAACAAAGCTTCTACCCATCTCAAAATATAATCTTCATCTCCAAATTGTCCTTGACATTCAAAAACACTTCCTACACAAAAAAGTGCACACATTGCTTGAATTGCTTTTTGTTCAACATGAATACCGATATCATTTTCTTTTCTTAAAAAATATATTTTTTAAAATTGGTTTTGACGGGGTAACTAAGAGAACAATAACCCCGAAATGAAAATTTAGATCTAAATTTTATGGAATACTTTATGGAATTTTGTAATTTCTAATAAAACAAAAACAACCAAAAATCGGTACTTTATTAATATCCCGCCCCCACCCCTATTTGAGTCTCAGATTATTTTTCCTTTCTTGCTGTCAATCATTTATTTCCCTCCTTTTTTAATGGCAATCATTTTCTTCCCTCGAATATTAGGTAATATGATAGTTGACGTGTACAGCCCAAAAGGGCGCGCAGCCATAACGGCGCAAAGCCATAACTTTCTGTAAATTTTTGGACCTTGTTATTTTTGTTATCAATCTCTTTAGCTCGTTGAGAAGAATCATTTAATATTAATTTTTGTGAGGTTCGAAAACCTTAAAGCAAGTTATGGCTTTGCGCCGTTATGGCCGCGCGCCTTTTTGGGTGTCACATATTCAAGGGAAGAAAATGATTGGCATTAAGAAAGGAGTAAAAATAAATGATTAGCAGGTAAAAAGAAAAATTAATCTGAGACTCAAATAGGGGTGGGGGCGGGATATTAATAAAGAACCCAAAAATCTACGGAAAAATTTAGAGATTTGAAGGGAAATTGAAAGGCGTGGAATAAATTGGGGATAAAAAGGCATAACACAAAAACTCAGAAGATATCCGCAAATAGTGCTTTACCAATGGAAGTTTTATAAAAAGTGTGGAATAGAGAGAAAGAAAAGAAGTTTGAACTTGATACTTATCAATTTTTTGAACTTGAGCCAAAGAAAATAAGAAAAAAAACCCTCAAAAAAGTCAGAAAACACTTCAGAATTGACATGGACCCATTAATGTTTAAATCAAAAATCAATCATTTCTCCATACTTTAGAGAAAGAACTCAACTAAATTCAACACCTTAACCCCCAAATTTCTTCATTTTATTTAACACACAAATCAATAAATATTAATTTTAAAAATTAAAAAAACCTTCTATTATCATTAGAATTAGCCAAAATTCGACTACACCAAGAAAAGAAGAGGAAAAATAATGAACGACGCAAATCCATTGGTAACAAATTTTCTCGTAAATCAACTAAAATTTTGAATAAAAATTAAACAAAAAATTTAAAAAAATACGTGGAACACTGCAAACAATTTCAGTAACAACTTTAGCAAAATGTATTCTCATTGTTTTAACATCACGAATCTGTGAAAAATTTAGAAAAGTAAAATATTTTAAAACGTGTTGTGTCTCTAATAATAACCCTTTTAAGCTAGAATTTGCCAAAATTCCTCGATTCGTCCCCGGAGCCCAGAGCCATCATAGAGCGAAAGCCAAGAATTTGAAAATCCCAAAGTCAAAAATACCCAGACTGACAGGCATGCTCAAGGATACGGAGATACCCGTGGAGACGGGCGGTTCCGAAATCCTGCCGACAAAAATAAAGGAAGCAGGCCAGTGTACCGCGAGGCCAACCTACCGCCGAGCTATAACTTTGTTTAAAATCTGGGACGCCTTGGTATGGTTCGATGAGTCTCGACGAGATAAATCGATACATACCAGGGCGTCTCGGATAAGACCATTTTGAATGAAGTTATAGCTCGGCGGGCCTGCTCCCGCTCAAGGGAGATACCCGTGGACACGGGCGATTCCGAAATCCTACCGACATAAGAAATAAATTTACGTTTTTAGGACAATAAAAACTGCAAAATCCCCACATAATTAAAAAAATAAACCGTTTCAGATTCAACATGAAACCGAACAGATTCAATAAATTCAAGCAAAAGTGGCGACAAAGAACCAGAATGACGATCAAAAAATGAATGGTCAAATAGTCTACGAGTTAGAGCAAGTTCAAGAATTCGAACTGAAAATGAAGGAAATTATGTTAAAATTTAAAAAAATAAAACATGCGGGAAACTATTTGCGGATTTTTGCCGTCTGTTGTGTCAAAAATTAACTAACAAGTTTCAGTTGGATTGAAATTTTGAATCAATCCTGGTCTTATTTATTTTTAGGTTAAGGATTGAAACCAAAAACAGAAAGGGCGTAGCCAGGGAGTCAATTTCAGGGAGTGGTCCTCTCCTCAAATTTCTCCCTTCTCCCCATTTCGGGGGAAGCTTTAGCCAAAGAAGCCCACTTGGCTTCACCCTTGACAGAAAGCAGATCTTTCGGATCAGGCCCCCAACGTAATAGACCCGAAAATCCCTAATAATTTTAAAACATCCCCCGATAACTAGATTCAAAAATAAATTCCCCAAACTTCCTCCGAAATTTAATTTTTACAAAAAACATACGCAATTGCAATCTCAAAGCGTCCTTCCTCTTTTTTCTTCTTAAATTTGTCTCGTTTTTGCGTTCTCCAACTTCTCGTAAAATTCCTTTTAGATTAAATTCTTCAAATAAAAGCCTATAAAAAATATTTTTTAAATAAAAACAACCGAAAACAAACTCAAAACATTCAGAATTCATTGAACCCATTCCTAAAACAACAGCGTCTTTAATGTCTGTAGCTTCCCAACGAATCCTTTAAAAAAATTAATGGAAAAATTATTTTAAACGAACGGTCGGAATCAACAAAAAGAAACACACTAGAATTAGGTAACGCCTCGAGTTAGTATACATTTTTAAAAATTTTGGTTTGGATAAGAACTGACGAAGATGTCGGAAATCGTGCAGAAATCAGGAAAAAATTTCGAAAAAAATTCGAAAAAAGGATTTCGAAAAAAGGAGAACGATACTCCAAATTTAACCTCGTTACAAAGTACGATTTTCCAAACATCACATAGAAGTCTGCCCATTTAGAAGTATTTTTATTAAATTTAATTTACATTATCGAAGCTTTTTGTAAAAGTTGAGAACAATTCAACAATCCTGTTCTTGTCATTTTGACTGAACTTATCATTGATTTGTTTACTTCAGAATGATCACAGCTTCTACAAAAACATTATTTTAAAGCAGGGCTCTCATTCGTACTTTATTTGAAAGTACAGTACTTTAAAATCGACCTCCGTACTTACAAAATTGAATTTGTACTTTATTGAAAGTATGTACTTTAAAATCAACATTTTGGATTGAAAATGAAATTAGGGAAGGATTGGGCAAAAAAGTGAATTTCTAAGGCCTATGGCCTTAGAAATTCACAAAATTTTCGCCTGCGGCGCTGAAAAAGGAAGAAATCTAGCTTCTTGGGTCTAAATTTCAAAAAATTTTCGCCTGCGGCGCAAGAAATTGAAGAACTTTAGCTTAAGGACCTCCAAAATTCTCAAAATTTTCGCCTGCGGCGCTGAAAAAGGAAGAAATTTGGCTTCTTGCGTGCCAAATTTAAAAAATTTTTGTCTGCGGCGCTAAAAATGGAAAAAATCTGTCTTAAGAACCCCGAAATTTCCCAAAATTTTCGCCTGCGGCGTTGAAAAAGGAAGAAATTTGGCTTCTTGCGTGCCAAATTTAAAAAATTTTTGTCTGCGGCGCTAAAAATGGAAAAAATCTGTCTTAAGAACCCCGAAATTTCCCAAAATTTTCGCCTGCGGCGTTGAAAATGGACGTAAGAAAGTAGCTTGCTTGAGGTTAAGACTGTCAGGGCTTTACTTCTTGTGACAGCAAATTTTGACATGTCCTGTATGAAATGCACAAAATGCTCAGTGGAAACAAGAAATTATTAGAAAAATTAATTTAGGAGAGAAATATAAAAGATTTGAGGACGAATAAATATTTTATAATTTAATTTTGAGTGTCCTTTAAATTTGGAAATTTTGTCCCTATGTACTTTAAAATCGAGATTTTTGTACTCTTGATTGGTATTTTGTCGATGAGAGCCCTGTTTTAAAGCCCAAGAAAAAAAAAAGAAAAAAAAGTTGCTTTTAGAGGAAATTCGTTTTGGAAAACCTAAACCCCAAACACAAAAAATCTCAAGCTCCAACTATCTCAAGCTCCAACTATAATTCCCAAAAATTTGAAACACCGTAAAACCCCTGCAACAACGATGGATCGGGTTACACTAGCGCTCCTCCTGACTTTTTTCGACCCGAAATCAAAACCGGATCCTAAGAAAATTTTGAAACCCCCGATCAAAATTCGACCGCCTCCCCCACCTACATTGTCCTATAATTTTTTAAGATTAATTTTTTGCTTACCCTATGAAAAGAAATTTGGTTAAAAATAAAAGCAAAAAAAATAAAAAAAATAAACAAACGGAGAAAAGCTTCTAATTAATGATGGATTTGACAAAAATGTAGTTTTTGATTGGAAAAGACCAAAAACCATTACAATATATTTTTGCCACAAACTTAAATAATTTTCATGGCTGAGTATATCTCCACATAATGGCCAATTTGTATATCTACTTTTGCTGCTTCTTAGAAGAGAACTTCGATTTTCATTTTGCGGATTACTGAAAGAAAGATTTTTTTAAAGAATTTTTAGAAAAAATACTTTGGATCAATTATTTGATGACAATAATTGAAACGAGTAAGCAACGCTGGCCAAGCAAACTAAAATTTAAATTTTTTAAAAATTTTCTTAAATGGTGTAAACCAGGGATGGGACGGGCTAACGAAACACGGACTTTTTTTCGACGTGAAACCCGATCCGAAGAAAAATTTTAAAACCCGACTCGACTTTTTTCTCAACTCATCCCATCCCTGGTGTAAGCAGAAAATAAAGACCCTTGTATTTTTTTAAAGATCCCGTAGAATCCACTTTGTGGGATTTTTGGTGAAGAAAAAGAAGAGAGAAGTTGCTCATTTCCCTTTTACTTCACAGAATCTAACAGTCCAACATTGACTGGCCATAACTCGGTCAAATGTCATTTTGAGCGGATACCATTTCGCAATAAAAAGTCAAGGGTCTTAAGTAAGGCTGTCGGTTCCTGGAAATTCTTCGGATATCCAAAACCGAACCGAAAAATCATCGGTTCTTCGGTTCGATCCAGAACCGACAACCTTAGTCTCAGGGTATTTTGTTCCCTTGTTAGTAAATTGGGTTAATGGGGGCTTTATCTTATCTGCCAATTTAATTAATCCAAAGAAAGATTCTTACAGATATTGCCACTGTGCATTTTGACGGAAGAAAACGATGCTCAGAAAATCCAGAAAGAGCGCTAGCCCAAACATCCCAACGCAAATATTCATTTCCATGGTCTTCATTTACCAAAAGCGGATCAGTTCCAATATTTGATACAATCTCACAAAATGAAGCAAAGTCTTTATGCCAAGTTTTCTGGAAAAGTATACTTTTAGTGTAGTTGGATAGGTTTTGGTTTCGACCAAAAGGGGGTCAAGGGTTCGAATCCGGTTGACAGAAATTATTTTTAAATAAAAGGAAACATGTTTTTACATACTTAAAATGCAAATATGTGGACTTTTTTTTATTTGTTTTAAAGAGTTTTGGGGGGAATCCCGATCAGGGCTGTCCTCAATTGCAGATTGCGTGGTTTTTTGGACTTGCGGATTTTAAAACAAAAATTGCGGACTGCAATTGCGGAAAATCTTTTCCACTTGCGGACAGCCCTGCTCCCGATATGTCTCCACAAAAACTTGACAGCATAACGTCATTTCCACAGCTTGGGATTTCAACGGCTTTTTGGGGTTTTGCTATTTCGATATTCTTATATTAACGACTCGTTCCGTTTTCATATATTAAAAACCCAAAAAAACCTTTTCATTCTCAGAAACATGTTGAATATATTTTTCCATTACATAAGGTGTTGCCTCATCCAAAACTTCAATTACTGGCGTTTCATAATGCTTAAATCAAAAAATTTTTTTAATTAAAAAAAATTTCAAAAAAACCGTACATGTTTTTGTGGAAAACAATCCAAAAATCCTTTAACTTCGTATAATAAAGAAATTGCCATTCTTTTAATTTGTGGCCTCAATTGACATAAAAGTGTTAATGCTAAACCTTCTATACAATGAAGAGCAAAAGCTGTAGCACTAATATAACGTTCAAAAGATGCATGGGAGGTGGTTAATTCGCCTTAAATTTGAAAAAATTTAGGAAATGAATTTAATCTGATCCAGATTTTTTCATACAGAAACATTAAGATTACGGGAAAAATAGAAAAGAAAAACAATCAAGAAAAATTTTTTGAATTGTTTTAAGTCAAAATTAACAAGTCAAAATTTAATATATAATGTAAAACCCAAAATAAGATATTAATTAAAAAACAAATTTATTTTTTGTAGGTTCTGATTATTTTCTATTATTTGCTAGAAAGTCGAAAAAAACACTAGTGTTTCCGATCGTCAAAGGAATTTTAAAATTTTTAATGCAATATTAAGATTGTCTGTACAGAATGGAAATGAAAAACCTAGAATTTTGCGGTTCTTCTATCCCGGGTATTTGTTAATTTCGGTTTGGTTCTGGATGCATAAAAATTCCAAGAACCAACAACTCTAGCCCAAAATCATAAAGAATTAAAAAAATTTAATATTTGTCATAGTCACACCCCCTTTTCTAGTGATTACTTAAGGGAATGGAAAACTGGCCAGAGGTTCAGTCACGTTTTAGTTTAGTAGGGCCCAATGCCGACCCGTTAATCGGGTTTTTAAGAATATTCTCCGAAATTATTAAAAATTTGATTTAAAAAAAAAGCAAAACTAACAACTTTCCGAAATTGAAGATTGAGAACTAATACCAACTTTATTTGTTGAAAGTTTTAACATAATCGATTCATTCTTTTGATGTTCAATAAAATTTAATTTCCAAACGGAAAGCAATTGAAGTAATAAACGAACCATTGATTCTAATAATGTTGGGAATGTGTCCTTAAATTTTTTTAATTTTGTGGAGTGCGCAAGTAATACCAAATGCCGAAATACGAAACCCTCTAAAGCCACCAAAATAACAAACCGAGAAAATAAAAAACATATATATAGATCAAGGGCGTAGGTAGTCAATTTCAGGTGGGGGATAAGATGGGGTGTGCGCCAAAATTTTTGGAGTTTACTTTGGCGTTCCAAACGCAAATTTTTTTTGTATTTATATTTATTATTTTTTCAGCGCCGCAGACGAAAGTGAGAATTTTGTGAGTTGTAGGCGTGAAAAATTCACTTTTCTGATCCTTTCCCTCTTAAAATTGTTTCATTTTCCTCATTTCAGGGAGGGAGGAATAGACCCAGAACGCTCTTGATATAGATATGTTCCAATCACGTTGGAAGGTTGTTACAATCCATATTTTGGTATTCTAGCGTGCCCTTCGGGGTTTGGTATTTCGGCATCCTACCATAATTAACAAAATTTCATTTAAAAACCTGTATTTGATTAATTAAAAAACGAAGAAAAATGTGGAATAAATCTTCTCTCCAATCTGGACATTCAGCAACCAAATTTTGTAGTGATTGGTAAGCTGTTAAACGAATTTCTTCATCTACATGAACACACATTCGAATAACAAATTCTATCAAATCCTTTAAAAATGAAGAGTTAATTTTGAAATTTAATTTCTGAAATTAGTCAAATTTCTATAGGAAGAATAGTCAAAGTAAACGCCAAAAGCTTAATTAGCGTTTACAGCGGTATAGCCAAATAAAATCCGCCACTGAATACGCAGATGACATTCTAATTTTTATTCCAAAAAAATGTTAACTAGGGATGCCGTTTCCGAGTCGGACCGACGGTCCGAGTTGGTCCATTCTGGCAACCCTATTGTTAACAGTAAAATTAAAATAATTTTCCTTCTATTTTATCTTATTTGATTTTAAATTGGGAATATTTTGGACTAGGATAAGAGTGCACAAAAATAAGAGTGCACAGGTTTTGATTAGAGACCGGACTGACAGGAGACGAGATCTCAATAAAAATCCCGGTTGTCGAGATCGAGAATTTTTTGAGATCATATCTCGATCCCGATTCTCGTACAATCCTCTCACCCAGTCAGTCCGATTTCTAGTTTAGGATAGAATGCACAGAAAAAAAAATATAAATTTTTATTTTCAACGCGCTATAGATAATCCTCCACAAAAATATCCAAAAAAAACTTTTTTTTTAATTTTTAAATCAAACCTGATGAGACATTGGATCAGGAAGAAAACGAGGAATTGCAGCAATACAAGTCCGAAAAAGATCCAATTTTGCTCTCATTTCAGAATTAATAACTTCATTATATTCCTTTCCACGAACATGTGAAGCTGTTAACATAAATGAACGTCCAATTTGGGCATCCAAAGTACGCAAAATTGAGTCAAAAGCTTTTCTACAAGCTGGATAGTATTGTTCTAGACCGAGAGAAATTGCTGTTTCGATTGATAATGGTTGAGTCAAATAGCTTCTTTTTTGGCGTTGAATTGTTCCAAAAGGTACAAAACCTTTATAAAATTATTTTAAAATTTAAAAGGTGAAAAATAAAAAAATTTTTATTGCTGGGATAATTTTGACAATTACTACAGATATTGTCAAAAGCTAAAATATGGAGATTCTTTTTCATAAGTCAAATTAATCCCTGGATATGTTCGTATAAAACTGCAGAAAATCGCGATCAGCGTGATTAATAGATCTCAGCCCAAGACTAAAGTGAAAAGGTAAATTTTTTAAATACGCAAATGTTGGGGATTGTATTGTCGCCAATTAAATGACCTCCTCAACAATTAGTGTCGGTGGACCCTGGGAAATTCACGGATATCAGAATCCAATATCCGAACCGAAAATTTCATGATACCCAGACACTTTTCGGATCAGATATCAGGACTCAATCACTGATAATTACAAATTAAATATGGCCGAATAAACTTTCATGTCCTATATCAGAAATAACAAATCGTCCTCTCAATGAAATTTAAAAAATTAAATTCTTTAACAAAAACCTATTGATCTCGGCATTCCTGGAGGACTTTCATTTTGTTGTAGTCCATCAAAAATAACCATTAAAGCACGTATTCCGATATTCATACGTTCAGGATAAATTGAAAGGGTTCTTGATGAAGCTCTAGAACATCCCAACAAGTCATAAATTATTTCCTAAAATTTTTGAAAAAATTACAAAAAAAAACTTTAAAATCCCCTTAACTCTAAACGCAAAATCAATTCTATATTGAGAAATAAAATGAATTATTTTGACAAAAATGTTGAGAGGAGCATCTCTTGGAACAACATTTCTTGAACCTCTAGGGAAAAGACTTGCACAAATTCCTTCCAAACGGCTTCGAGTAACGCTATTACTTTCACAGCTTATACGAACTGTGTAAACCCTTAAAAAATAAATTTAATTTGAGGAAATTGAAGGGTTTTTAAAAAAGAGATTTACATAAAAGTACAAAAGTGAGTGAATGGTAGATGTCGGCAATATGCATATCAGGGATCCCGTAACAGAATTTTTCAGATTATGTACGGAGTGGGATCCCGTGGAATTAACACCGTCAATCAAGTAATCCGCTTGTCGCTTAAAAGCAGGATTCCGAGAAAGGGCCCAATAAAATCAAGTATGGGATCTTATCCTTTTCCGATCACTAAAGTATGGTTAATTGGAATGTTAAACCACCAAAATGTCAAACATTGAAATGCCAATTCTAAGGTTATTTCCTTTGTTTGGCATTTCAATGCTTTTTTGGCATTCAAACGCTCCTTAGAAAATAAAATAAAAAAGTTAACCAAATTAAACGATAGAGTGATTCCAACGCCATTCTTGAAATTCTTGAATCTTTATTTTTAAGATTTGCTGAAAAAATAAAATTTATAAATTGTTAAAATAACACATATTTACCTAGTGTAAGATTAAGAAATTGAACCCAAGTAGAAAGAAAAAATTTATTTTGACTGATGCATAAAAGACAGGTAAGTAGAGGGTAAGCTGCCTGAATGAAATAAAAAAAAATTTTAAAAATAGACTACATAATGTTGAGAAGAGGAACTTTAAAATCGGTGGATCGTTTTTGGCCTAAATACGAGACAAAAAAATCAACAATTTCGAGCTCTCGAGTCTCCCAAAAATACATTTAAAACCTCTCCGAAAAATTATTTGAAGAAGTTCATTTTAGTTATGTTCCCAAGCTTGGATAAAGTTGCTGGTTCAGGGTATACGAAAATCTTCAGTTCGGTTAACGATTCCGGTTCCAGATACCCAGAGGTTTTCCAACTACTATACATACATGTATTCAAAGTCCCTCCAAAAAATCAAAAAATATATTTTAAAAAAATAAAAAAAAATAAACCAATTTATGTTGCTTTTTATTAATCAAATCATATGTTGGATTGTAAAGTTTATCAACAAAGGCAATTAAAGCAGGAACGTTTGCTTCTGTTTTTATTTGCTACAAAACAAAAATTTTTTTTAAAAATTTCTAAAAAAAATTCAAACCGCAGCCATAGGTATAAGTATTTCAACTAACAACCCAGCCAAAGCATGCTTCAAATCTTTTTGTTTCAAATCAACTTCAAGGTAATACGAACCAATTTCTTCTAAAAAAGAGATGCCTTCTTCCAATGATGATATCTCGTTTGTCTGTTTTTAAAAATAAAAATGAATAAATAATTTGAGTTAAAATTTAATTAAAATTCTGATAAAAAAAATTTGGTAGAAAAACAAAAATTTAAAACCAAGTTCCTTCCCAAAGCCCGCAAAAATATTGGTATAAAAAATTCTGGCCAAGGTTTAGTTAACGGGCATAAAATGGAAGACCTATCATGTCAGTTCATTAATCATAAACTTAAGCCGGCCAGGTCCTCTATCCCCTGCCGTATCTGCTCACCTATAAATGTCTTTATATGGCTATTGCGCTCCTGGCCGGGAGCCCAGACCTTAAACTAACAATAAGATAGACAAAAAAATATTCTGATAGATAAAAAATAAAATTAAAAATACCTTAATTCTAAAATATTTCATTCCCATTAATAGACAAATAACAGAATGTGTATTAACCGGTACTTCTTTGCGTAATTCGTTTAAATTGTCAATACAATATTTTTGGATTAATTTACAATGAGTTTGTGACAAGACACCAATTACTTCTGCGAAGATTTCAGAGACTAGAAAAAAATAAAAATTTTGATGCAGAAAATCTGTAAAAAATAAATTTTCTTGTCTTGTCCGCAAAATTTAAAAAATTGTCCGCAAATTTTAAAAATTGTCCGCAAAAATTTTCTTATCCGCAAAATCGAAAAATTGTCCGCAAAATTCGAAAATTGTCCGCAAAATTCGAAAATTGTCCGCAAATTGAAAAATTTCATCCGCAAAATAATTTTTGTCCTCAAAAATTTTTCTTGTCCGCAAATTAAAAAAATTGTCCGCAAAAAATTCAAAACAAACCTATCAAACTATTATTATAATTAATTCCAAAAACGGATTGGTCCTTGTAGGATATTTGATTAAAAGAATTTCCAACAATAAAATTAATTTGTGATTGACATTCTGCTGGGTGGAAGTGGACTTGAAGTAAAATTTCGATTAAAACCACACAAAATAAATAGCTAGCAACAAGTGTTTTCTTTATGGCACGGTCTCTGACTTCACTAAAAATTAAGAAGAAAAATTAAAGTTCGGAAAGGATGAGGGTTTTGGGTTTATGGGGGGTAATAAATGAAGGATATGGATGGGCAAAAATTTTGGGGTCGAAGAATTGACTAGGTCGGGGTCCATTTTTACTTTATGACGAAAAACTAAAATGTCGACATTATTTTTAAGCAAATCACTTGCAAAAATTGGAATTGGGGTTGCCATTTTCGAACCGGGTCGACGTTAAAGTTATTTATTTCGGGCCTCATTTTTTATCGACCCGGGCCGTTCGAGTGTCTTTCGGGCTAAAAATCGAGACCCGATTTGATCTTTCGAACCGAGGCAACCCTAATTGAAATGAAGAAGTTCCACAAAAAACCTCAACAAAAAAATCAGATACTTAAAAGAAACCAAGTAAAAAAATCTTTAAAAATTTACCCGACTTGGCTGATAGAAACTCTCTGTTGATGCTCATACCACTTAATCAAAACGTTTAAAACTGAAGGTAGGCAAGTCTCGCATAGCCCAAAAAGTGTTCTTAACAGGCTATTTAGATAAGAATCCTCTCCTCTTTTAAATGATTTGTTTATAAGTTTGTCCTAAAAATAAAATTTATAATTTTAAAGAAAAGAATCGAGATTTATGCGAGTTATGTCGGAATCAGGAATGAGTTTTCTTCTGCTTCTGTCCTCTGAATTCCATTTTCCCCGATTTTTAAATAAGTAATGACTAGAGATCGGCGACCAAGGCCTAGGTTTTTCCTGTACCCAGAGTCCAGACCTGGGCATTTTTTGACCTTTCTGAGGATTTCCTGGACTACAGGCCTAAGATCCGGCCCAGGTCAATAAATCAAACCCAGAACACAGGAAAAGGCTTTTCGAAAATACCAATCTCTAGTAATGACCATTCTATTATGGGACAAGCCTAATTTTCCAAGTTTTTCAAGCCCCTCCTTTTTAACAATCAAGTCGGGTTAAGCTGGTTTTCTCTTGCGGACAATTTTTGCGGACTGTGATATTTTATTAAATGTCCGCAAAAACTTTTACAAAAAATGACTGAAAAAATCAGCTTTCCTAAAAGAATACCCCAAAAAATTTAAAAAAAATACCAGAGGTTCTTCATCAGCAATTTGAGTTAAACGCTTCTCAAAATAAATAAACATTTCTTCCATAACATATTGGACTGTATAACGTGCAGGAAGTATTTCCAAGTCAGCCGAATTTGAAAAATGTTTTTTGAACCAGGGAAGTTTAATAAATGATTTTAAGTCTTCCTCCATAATTTTTAAAAATTCTGAAAAATAAATAAAATTTTTTAAAAATTTAGACAAATTTTTGACATAATGGAAGTTTAAGGGAAGTCTAACGGGAATTATGGTTTGTATTAGAGACCGGCAAAATAATCGCACTTCCGGGATCCCGAGTCGGGATCTTTTTTCTTAACCGATGTCGGGACGGGATCCCGAGGGATAAATCCCGAAAGAATCCCAGATCCCGAAAATCAAAAAAATCCGGGATCCCGGAAAATCCCGTCAGGATCCCGTCCCGCGCCGGCCTCTAATTTGTATTAGTCAGTCAAAAACCAAAAAAGTCCTAAAACAAAATCAGCTGAATTGAGAAAATTAATGATTTTTAAATTAGAGATTTCGACAAAATATTTTTTGGTGACACTTTGAAAGTTTAACATTTCAAGGTAAAGGACGTTTCAGAGCAGAAGGTTCAGAGTATACGTGCTTATTGTGCCATTCCGCATTTCATGTTTCGCCGAATTTTTGACTTTTTTAGTGTTCCATCTTTTGTTTTTTAAAAGTTTGTTCCGGCTTTTTTTTCGTGTATGTGATGTATATAGCCAACCAACTGTTAAATTGGATAAATAACTAACATAAATTAACATATAAAAGCAGTATAAAAGGATAAAGTTTTTAATTCAACTCTCTGTATGATTTCACAACAATGAATCTTTTACCCGCCGAAACAAAACTTGACATCTTCAAATGCCTCAATTTCAACCAATTAAACAACTTTCAACTGTCAAATCGCCATTTTTGTGAATTGATTGCCAAATACAACAAGGAATTGGCTATAAAAGTGTTCTATTCTGTTGAGTTGGTTGTTTGGAAAAATTGTAAGGGTTTTTTGATTAGTCTTATTAAAAGTTTTTGTTTTACAGATGTCTGCAAGGATTTGGAGTATAGTCGTAAAGAATTGGATTTGAATTTGAGCGAGGAAAATAAATTAAAGGTACATAATTGGGGTGAGGGGCAACTCAAGGAACAGACAAATCAAGGAACGACAACGCACGGAACAGACAAGCCAAGAAAAAGTCAAAAAGTCACCTTGACGACAAGTCAAGGAACAGACAGGTCAAGGAATTAAGAAAAATTCTGATTTCTAAAAAATTCATGATTTGATCGTTTCACGAGTTGGTTGTTCCTTGACATGTCTTTTCCTTGACCTGTCTTTTCCTTGAATTGTCTGTTCATTGACCCGTCTTTTCCTTTACCTGTCTTTTCCTTGACTTGTCCGTTCCATGACTTATCGTTTCTTGTCTTGTCCGTTCCTTGAGTTAGCCCGACACGTATAATTGTTTCCTTTGGCTATAAACTCTTATTATTTTTTAGTGGAAAGCAGCAATTCAGGAACGGATTCCTTTCTACTTTTATCACAATAACAACTCTCTTCACAAAAATTTTGATGTAGCAATTGATGATTATAAACTTAATGAAATTGCAAATTTGTTTATTGTATCGAAAGGAGAAGGTGAATAATTTTGTTTGTTAGTGGCAGAGGTGGGTCGGAACAGTCAGAGGTGTCGGAAATCGGAGGAGCCGGAAATTGGAACTGGCTACAAAGTCGGAAATAGGAATTCCGACCCACCTCTGGTTAGTGGTTGTTTTTAGAAGAAGCCTTTTTTGTTAGAAATAAGGACTCTACGTCAGTTTATGCGTCCAATGAAAGTTTTTCCCAGACCCAGTGGCCGTAGGTCCCGAACATGAAGAAATGTTTTGGAGCCATACCCCAACTTTGCAATACTAAGAAAAATCCAATTGTTTTTTGATTGGACGCATAAAAGTCGATTGGACGAATAAACTGGAGTAGAGCCGAACTAAGCTTATATTTTTACCTTTTTTATTTTTAGAAGGAACTTCGCCTAAATTTCTTCAATTGCAATTAAAACAATATCCCGAAACAATCGAAGAAATGCTTATTTTTCGTTACTGGCTAAAGAAGCTTTCCTATTGCTTTATTGAAAACTTCAAATTTGAACAAGGCTTTATCAATCCGAACATTCTTGAATTATTTTTTGGGGATTCTCCGTTGAAATTTTACACAAAATATTTTTATCTATACAATAAAGGAGGCTATTGTTTTCCTAAAGGACTTGAATTTATGTACCGTCACGTTGTTATTCGAGGACGTAAAGGCTTATACTATGAAGATTCGAACCGGAAAATGTTTGGCGAAATGGTAAAAGATGAAGAACGTTATTTCCAAAGATTTTCATTAGAGGAGGAGGAAAGGAAAGAATTTTGTAAGGTTGTGGAGTATGAATTGTTTGAAGTAGATAATCCAATGGAAGATGCAATGTTGTATTTATGTTTCCGTATTGGATCTAAGAAAGCATTTTATTACGAAACTGTGGGAACTTTTGTCTGATTTCTAAAAAATATAATGTTCGATATTGTTTATTTATCTGTTGTTATTTCGCTATAAATATGTACATATGTACTTATAAGTAATGTAGTTTATTTCTGAACACTGATTTGTTAATTTTAAAAAATCTTGTAATTTTAAAACTTGTAAATTAAAAAATCGGGGTTTCTCTGAGAAGTATCCTCAAGATCTAAACAAGATCAAGATCTATCGAATTGTACCAAAAAATATATCAAATTCGCTGTTACAGTAAAAGATGGTCCCTTTTAACATTAAAAACCCACTTCGGCCAATATTTAGTTTTTTCTTAAAAGAGGTTGAAAAATGGAGACCCATGGGGCTCTAATATAGGAAATACGGTTTTTTATTTTTAATTACCCCGGGGATTCTTTTCTTAAAATGTAGCCTCATCCTCTACAATTTTAACTTTTAAAATTTTTTCCTCGATTTGATTAGTATTTTTATATTTTTGAGGATAGGTGACGAATTTATAGTTTTGTTGTTGTTATGTTGTGTAAAAATTTAATAATTAATCAAATTGGTAGCTTTTAAATTTTAACAAAAAGTGTAACTTTGGAGAGAGAAATTGAGGAAATTTTGGAATTTTTGTGTCAAGTTTAAATATGTGTTTGTGACAATAAATCATTGAACAATATTATATCAAAACGACCCTTTATATATTTTTAAAAGTGGACAACTGACCCTTTAAGTGGTAAATAAAATATGTAAGGGAAGAAAGGAGGGTTTATTTTTAAAAAATTTTTAACGTTGACCAATTGTGTCTATTTTAATAATTAGTTTTTCTCGATTAATTCTCCATTCTCTCGAATAACTCCCCATACCAGCAGAGGTGGGTCGGAATTCCGATTTCCGAAAAAAAATTGATTCCCATTTCCGAGTTCCGACTTTTGAGCCAGTTCCGATTTCCGGCTCTTCCGATTTCCGACACCTATGGCTGTTCCGACCCACCACTGCATACCAGGGATGGGTTGAGAAATAATTCCCTGCCCACACCCTATTTCATGTTCGAAGTGTAGTTCTGTAATGCGGGCGTTATAGCTCAGTGGTTGTCTTCTAGACTATAAAAGATCCTTCGTATTTAGATGTAAAGTTCGAACCCGCGCTAATTTTTTTCCACCATTTTAAATTTTCCACCAGTGTATATAACAAGTGATACGATTTTATTTATTTTAAGCTGCTTTGATTTTTTTTTGTTTTTATTTTCATATTGTTTTATTTTTGACCTCTAGTGGTGTAAATAAAAAATAAATTTCAAAACTCGAATAATTACCCTCCCTTCTAGTAATTCCCTATCCACAGATAGGTTGAAATATTAATTTCTCAGGGAAAAAATAAGGTTGTTTTTCTGCATATTTGACATGATTTGATGATGTTTTGTCGATAAATTTAGGTTACTTTAGGCCTGCTTTTCCGGAATTATACATATTCCGGAAACTTATTGTAGTGTTTTTCTCTGTCTCAATTTAAAAATCTGTTTTGCGCTTCTGCAAACTTTAACTTTTTGACCCATCCGCTTTTCCTCGTTTTTTGTTTCGCTTTCTTCCCTCTTTCGTCTTTTGCTTTTTTATGCTAGAAAAATTTGGCATTTTTGCGGACAACTGCTCTCATGCCTTCTTTTATTGTCCTTCAAAACAATAGAAAGGGGGGAAGGGATGTATTTATTTATATAAATTCCACATCTTCCAATCATTCCCTATTATTTTTTTTATTATTTGTCTATCATTCCATCAAGCTAGTATTTAAAATCAATTGTTTTAGTGTCCCAATTTTTGCCAATTTTGTGTGTTTATTGTCCACACCAAACTTTCATTATTATTTTCCTTGCAGCGCCGCCGTTGCCTTTACTCTCCATATTTCACCAACAACACATTTTGCCAATCAGGCTAAAAATTCTCATTTTGTCAACAAGGCCTTTTGGCAAAATGTAAGTTTTTAGCCTTATTGGCAAAATGTGTATTGGTGAAATATGGGGGAGTGATCGTTGTTGCTTTAGCTCTCTCACTTTTATTGTTTTGTTGCTTTTCCTCATTCACCATATTTTTTCTTGAGGGTGATTCAGAGAGAAATGAGTATAGCCTAAAGGCAGGTGTGGGGGAAGACTGATTTTATAGGTGTATAAAATAGTGAAGGAATGTGCCAGGCAGATATTTTGGAAAAGGAAGGGAAGGGAAGAAATTGGGGAAGATTTTTGTCGATTTTTGGGAGGAGGAAGGGGGAAAATATAAAAATAAGTTTAGTGTGTACTTTTTCATATCTCAGAAAACATTAAAAAACAAAGGGGACAGAAAAAAAAAGTTTTTTTGATTTAATTGTCCATTTGAGATTTAGTTTAACCGAGAGAGAGAGAACGGAGAGAGACACAAAATAATAATTTTTTAATGAGAAAAAATCTAAGTCGTCCATTTTTGATTTTTCAAAACCTTGTCTTTATTTTTACCTTTATTAATTATTTTTTATTTTTTAAAAAATTTTAAAAAATCTTTTTTCAAATTTTCTTTGGTACTTTTCATTTATCCCTACAGGCTTTTGTATTCATTTTGTTGCTGATACATTTAGTTTCCCTCATTTCCTTTCCTATACCAATGTACTAAATATTTTACAATCAATAATGACGTACCGTAAACCTGTATTAATTGACTTCCTCAAATAATTAGCCCCATCAAATGACCTAAAACACGTTCAGATTTCAAACCTCGTATAATTACCATCTCTCGATTAATTACTTCCTCTAACGGAAGGTTGAAACAATAATTACTCAAGTAGTTAATAATGGTTTTACGGTATATTTGAGTGACATATACCTGTTTTGTCCATATTTCTGAGTTTTTGACCATTTTGAGCCCTATATTCTTTGATCGTTTATAGCCTTATATCTCAGCCCAGATTTGCAAGCCTCCCATAATTTTGGTGTCATTCGACTCAGATCGACGGGCCCTTTCGAATGGTTTATACCATATTTATTCTAATAGAATGGCCTCTACAATAGAATGACCCTTCTTTAGGGGTATTGAAAAATAGAATACCATTCTATTAGCTTAAATACGGTATTTGTTTTGTTTATATTTCTGAGTGTTTCCTTTAGGAATAACGGAAAAGTACTACCTTTTCTATTTTTTAAGGCAATAAGTAAAAACCTCAACTATCTAAATATTATTCTACAAAAATTCCATCAAAAAATGTGGCAACGTTTTCGTCAATATCTCCCTTTCAGTATTTCAGTTGGTCAAAAAGCAGAGGAAAAAAATAAAAAAATTGAAAATGAAGAGGAGGAGGATGATGAAAGAAGAGAAGAAACAAGTTTTGATGCAACCCCAGGGTTATTGAGTGATGAGGATGAAGAAAGCGGGGGTGCTAATTTTTCTTCTACACGTTCATCTTTTAGAAGAAATGAACCTAAAACTCATCATAGAACAGCTTCTAATGTTTCAGGTGGATTTTACAGAAAAAAAGTTGTTCGCGAAACTTAACGAAATTTCGCAAAATTCCGAAGAAGGAATACATTTCGCGAAATTTCGCAAAACTTCACGAGATTCTGCGAAACTTTACGAAATTTCGTAGAAGGAACTATTCGCGAAACTTCGCGGTCGTTTAATGAAATTTCGAACAAGGAAAAATTTCGCGAAATTTCGCGAAATTTCGCGAAATTTTTTTACAAAAATTTTTTCTCATTCAGGTCAACAACCACCAAAAGGAAAATTTTTCAAAAGGTCAGAAACAGCCCCCAGATCTAGTACAAGTGGAGGTGGCGGTAGTTTTGGAAGTGTTGGTGTTTCTAAAGCTGCAAAAAAGCAACAACAGAAAAGACCGTTCTCCGCAACACCACGTTCAGAGGGAGGGGACGCACCTTCAGCAGCAGAAAATTTAACTTCTAGACTTTCTAGAAGATCGTCAATTATTGTAAGATTTGGAGTTTTTTTCAAAAAAATTTTCGAAAATTTTGCGGACAATCCGCAAAAAAATTTGCGGATTGTCCGCAAAAAATTTTTTTTAATTTACAGTCCGATTTGGTTGCTCTAATGGTGCGCAGATCGAGTAGCATGGGACACAGAGGTTCTGGTCAACAAAAAGGAGGAGGTGGTGGTGGAGGGGGGAGTAGTAGTGGCGGTGGAGGAGATCAACGAGAAGAGCTTTCTTCGCAGGACCAAAAGGAAAGAAGCGTTGATTCAAGGGAAGAAGAAAGACGATTAAGACGAAATGATTACAATGGGGAGGATGAAGAAGAGGAAGATATTGGAAATATGCCGAGAGAGAAAATCCTTCAAAGAATAAGGCATCACAAGGAAATTATTGGAAAAGTAAGGCTACAACCATGGCCTATGAGAAGGAAAAGGAGAGCGTTAAAAGTAGCTAGGCAATATTTACAAAAACAGGAAGCTCAAGTTAGTAAATGGCATCTGTATAAAGTTGAAGCAAGTAGACGAGGGAATCAGGTAGAGATTTTTTGAGAAGAATATGGCTTTTGTCCAGTACCCAGTTCTTCGTTTTAGTACCATAAAATCTAAGGGAATAATGGGATCTTCCCACTCAGAGTTATGTTACACCCACATGATCAGGGGTGCACGCAACTGAAAAAAATTTTTCGCTCCGCAGTTCGATTGTTAAAAAACCCACGCAAATCCAAGTCCGGACCATTGGTCTAAAATGAAGAACCGGGTACTTAAAAATGTGAATGGACGCATAAACTTTTCATTGGACGCTAATCTGGACAAGAGCCAAAAAGTTTTCAAAAAAATTTCAAAAATTTTTTCTTCCCAAAGGCTTGGCGCTGGGCAAAAAATCTCAGTATTTACTTAATTCCTTGGGAATCAAAAATTAAACAAATCGAATCCAATTTTGGTTCTGTCGTTTCTTCTTTTTTTATTTTTCTTCGTTGGGTACTTGGAATGAATGTTGCAAATTCTTTATTGGTTATGGCTTTTGTTGTTGTGCCCGAATGGTTGGCAGATTCAAAAAATGATATTGGACGTTTTAACCGGACTAGGCATATAAAAGCAATGCCTACTAAAGTTGCTGTACATGCTGATGAATTAAATACTGTCCTGGATTTTGGGGTAGGTTTAAAATTCTTTAAATTTTAAGAATCATGTGCCGTTTGGACAGATATCCCTAGCAGGGATGTCACGAGTTAACTAAAGCCGGGTCCGGAAAATTTTCTAAGACCCTACCCGACCTTTAACTTTTTAATGCCCCTAACTGACCCTTACCGAAGATTTTTTTCAGCCTGAAACCCAAACAAAAATATTTTGAAGACCCAACCCGAAACACAATCCGACATTATTCTCAACCGTGATTTAGTTGGTCATTGAATTAAAAAAGGAAAATTTTCCAAAATTTTTAAAGGATTAGAGTGTTGGATAAAGAAACTCCGCATTTAGACGATACCCCTATTCCTCATTATAAAATACAATATTTCATCCCAAAAGGGGTATTTTAGACTATAAACTGGATATAGAGTCGAGATCAAGCCATTTTTCAGTATTCCTTTAATTCTTTCTTGACCCAAGGTCAAGAACCTTTTCCTCTTCACTTAAAATTAAGGTCACAGGTTCTTGACCTTGGGTGGTCTCTATTTAAGAATCTCGATCTCTGTTTATAACTAGTAGGGTTGGGGGTCCGATCCGAAAGATCGAGTCGGGTTTCCAATTTTGGCCCGAAAAAGACCCGGCCCGATAAAAATGAGGCCCGAAAGAATGACTCGAACGTCGGCCCGAAAACCCCAACCTTAATAACGAGAGTTGACTAAAGCACAATTTCTAAATTACAAAACATTTTTCCTTTTTAAGGGTTACCTCCAATATTCCTATCTCTTCTACGGCTATTACAGTCACGAAACAGTCCTTAAAGGTTTCATCATTGGTTATCACGTTCCTGTAGCCTATGTTTTTTTAAATTTATTTTTGCTTGTATTTTGTATTTTTATTATTTTGAAGGTTTGGAAAGGAAAAAATTTTTTTGAAAATTTTTTTTCTTCAGAAAATGACTTCAAATACTCGAAAAAGTAAATTAAGTAGTGGAAAGCAAGAACAATATGTTTTTACTTGGAAAGCAATAAATGGGTGGGATTACAATATTGGAGAACCCGAAACTGCGGCTTCGTTAGCTATGGCTAATGCTATTAAATTGAAGGTAGGTTTGAAAAAATTTAATTTAAAAGTTGGATCAATCCAGAAGGTCAACTTCCTAATGGTCAATTATTTCTAGAGAGACTAAAGGTCAATCGGCACTGGATATCAGTTAAAAATAGGTGAACGGATATAGGGGACCAGGGTGACCCTTTTACCCTATCTATAGGGCATTGTCCCTACTTTTGACCTTTTCGCTTTAGTTTTTCCCGATCTTGAACATTTGCCATATTTTGCCCTATATATGCCACATTTTTGAGTGGCTGCCCCTATTCTAGTGGTTTGGAAAGAGGTCACCCTGTAGTGGATTCATGATTAGGGGCTTGCTCCCTTTGCCTTATCCGACAGTTGCACAAGAGAATTTCCTCTTCTGTCATTTAAGCCTCCTTAATCCCCCTCCAATAAATCCATCTTAATCCTACCAAATCCATCGATATCCTTCTTAATCCGCACAGTCTTCTCAATCCTCACAATTTCTATTTAGGGTTGTCGGTTCTTGGAAAATCTTCGGATATCCGGAACCGAACCGTTATCCGAACCGAAAAATCATCGGTTCTTCGGTACGGTTCGGTCCAGAACCGACAACTCTATTCCTATTTTATCGTCCAAATATTTGTAGTTTGCCTTCTGGGTCAGTTGACCACTAGCGGAATTGACCTATAGGGAGTGAACCTTTTGGGTTCGACTCAAAAAAACTTTTTTCAAGGAAGCCTCTACGGAATACAAGAAAAAATTTAAACAAAAATTAACTTTCCAAAAAGTTTTTGTTCGTGTTGTTGTTAATTTAATAATTACATCAATGATGCTACTCTCTATGTTGGCTATTTATAAAGTTTCGCAAACTACAGAAAAAGATACTTTTCTTAAACAGGTGTGTGTTTTTAACAGGCTTTAGAATAAGCCTTTCCGTTATATGTATCCACAAATTCTTTCCTGTTAATCGTAGTTTTGTTCAGAATCATTAAAAAATTTTTTATTGTCATTTGAAAGAGCTATATTTGCAGTACCGAATTTCTAACCTCAAAAAATGGCCTTAGTCCACTAGTGCTTCGCCGGTACCGCAAATTTGCCGAAACGCGAACCAGAACCAAAAATTCCCAAAACTTCCGGTCTACAGGAACCGGAACTTCCGGCGAAGCTCTATAGTCCACCCTATGGTTTTTAAAATATATTAGAGTAAACATAGAGCCATAACTTGCTTCAAGATTCTCGAATCTTTTAAAATTTAGTATTAAACGATTCCATTTATCGAGCTAAAGAGCTTTTTACCAAACTTGTTGAGGTCCGGAAATTTTCCAGCTGGTTATGGCTTTGCACCACTTGACCGCGCGCATCCTGTGAGTGTCCTCGTGGACCTATATCTCGATTTCTTATCATAGATAATATCTTTCGAATAGGACAGATTAGACGATCGAAAGATATAGGTATAAATCGAAATTGTGGGGGCATATAACGGAAAAGTATAGTAAAAATACCAAAAAAATTAATTTAGAATGCTGTTTCAATTACTGTTGGTGTCATTACATTTCTTTTTCCACCAATCTTTGAATTAATGTTAATTTTATTTTCTTAAATTAATTTAAAAATCAAAATTTAGCCTCAAACTGGAGCTGTATAGACCTAGAACAGCTCTGCGTGTTCATCTTTTTAGGTTTCTAAAAAATTTTTGATAGAATTGTTGTCTATGTGACGGCTTTTTCATCCCTTCCAGACCCCCCCTTTTTTTTGTGTGGGAACAAAATAAATGGAGATATGTAATTATTGCTTTTTAGAACTCATGGTTTTGTATTGTGCGTTTAGAAGAATATGTATCAGGAGATGATTAGCCGACTTTTGCGGTCCGTACACTTACGGCTCAGACATTTGCGGCCCAGACACTTACGGCCCCTATTTTGACACTTGCGGTCACGGCACTTGCGGCTAAAAAATTTTCGGCGCAAACATTTGCGGCGCAGACATCAAATGTCAAAACCGCAAGTGTATGGGCCTCAAGTTGATAGCCGCAAATGTCTGCGCCGAAAATTTCTTAGCCGCAAGTGTCGGGACCGCAAGTGTCAAAATAGGGGCGAGCCGCAAGTGTATGGGCCGCAAATGTCTGAGCCGCAAGTGTACGGGCCGCAAATGTCTGAGCCGCAAGTGTACGGGCCGCAAAAGTCGCATCACCTCAGGGGATATGAAGAGGTTATGGTAAGATAAGTAGATTTGGAGGGATATTGGGAGGTTTGGATAGATTGGGAGACTAGTTAGTATTGGTTCTTAAAAGCAGAACTTGTACTTATCACCATAAATTTTTCTTGGTTAATTCGGTCCCAGCAGCAGAAAGGGGGAATTATGGGAGAGATGAAAAAAGGTGTTACATAAACTACACCTTTCAGTCAAACAAATTTTTTTTCAATTTTAGAGTGCTTTTCTTTTATTTGCTCAACTATTACACTCTTGTATATTCGGTAAAAAATTATTAAAAATTTAAAAATAAATTTCAATTAAAGCTCTTTATAATGCTAAACACTATGGAGGTTGTTTTGAATTTTTTTTTGAAGATTAAAAAATCCTCTTTAGGAAGAAATGCGTGCAAACGAAAAATATGAAAGAGAACAACAAAAATTGGATGCAATGACTTTAAATTCTTTAGCAGCAAGTCAATATCAGTTTCATATAGCTAGGTCCCCAACGGATAATGATTGGGATAACCAAAGCTATTATGAGGTGTTTTTGATTAATTTTGGGATTTTTAGGACACCCAAAAGGTCAGCTCCCTATCAGAAGCGGGTCAGAACAGTCAGAGGTGTCGGAAATCGGAAGACTCGGAAATAGCAACTGTCTCAAAATCTGAACTCGAAAATCAAAATAAAAATTTTTTTCGGAAATCGGAAGGAAAAAACGACGGAAATCGGAATTCCGACCCACCTCAGCTCCCTATTGATAAAATGATGCAATGTTGCAATCCCCCGTAATAGTCACCAAGAATGACCCGAAAGGTCAACAGACTTTTCAGGTCAACCCTCTAAATATTTGGGCGGATAAAATTAACTGAAGGTGAAGTTTGTCTACTCCCTATTGACTTATCTGACAGTTCTACGAGTTGAAATTCCATCTTATGCCCCTTAATCACAACAAATCCATCGAAATCCCCCTTAATAGTCACCAAAAGGTTTACTCTAATCTGCTAAAATTTTACAATTCTTTCAGGTTGTTTCTTCCCCTTACATTAATTCGAGGGAAATTGTATCACAATTTAATTCCCCTCAACAACACCAAAAGCCACCATTCCTTTTATTTGCTAGCGTTTCTGCAACACAAAGTGGGGAACGACGGCGTGATAAGCGTTTCTTTCCATTGTTATTTAAAAGGTAAATTAAATACCGTAATTGTTCTAATAGAGGCCCCGGGCTTCTATTTTCCATATATGTAGTCACTATAGTTTAAAAGTCAGTCTCAACTTCAGTCTTTTGATCACAATAACCGGGCTAATTTCCTGATCCCTCCTTCTGTTCCAGCCCAATCCACCTTCTCCTACAAGTACTCTTATACTGACTAAATGTTGTTCTTGTGCCTCGGACAACCCTCGGACATAACAAATGGTTATTGACTGGTTCTAATAGGGTTTGACAAATGAGCTTTTATTATAGTCGGACTTTCACGGACTTCTATTGGAACATTTACATTTAATATTTTTTATTTTTCAATAATTTTTATAGTAAAATTCGTACAAACAACAACAAGAGAATTTCTCATCCAAAACGGAAGAAGCGCCCGCCGCCAAAATCTAAAAATCCAACTAACGATGGTGGTGGCCCAAAAGAAAGAGATTTGAGCGTTCTTTATGGGTCAAATCCTTTTCCTGGCCATGAATTGGCTTCTACAACACCTACCCCACAGCCAAGTTCAGATCCTTGGACAACTGTTCAACCTCATTTTGGACCTTTATTTGTTTGTAGCTTTATTTTAGCGAAGTGGGAGTATGCTGGGACTGATCTGTCAAATAAACCTAGGCACATTTTACCATTACTTTCTCCAAGAGCTGTAGGGTTAGTCAGACCCTAGCTAATATCATTCTACCAAGGTCACCGGTGTGCTCTTCCTTTGGGGCACATAAAAACTTGGCAACTTTGAACTGATTTAATGGTAAAACAATTTGGTGTGTCACAGCGATAAATAACAAAACTGTTAAATAATTGGCAAAATCCATTAACACATAATGATCCCCCAAAAAATTACGCTGCTTAGGCTAGTAACGGATATGCCTTACATCCTAACGTGGCATTCTTCTATTCTTTATACTATTTATAGGTCGGTGTCTCCAACCCTAAAGCACTTGTTTTGCCTGGTGGTCGAGCTCAACAACAAACAGCAGAATTGGGAACTTTTTGGGAAAGTAGAAAAATTGGTCCAGGCGAAGGGAATTGGCCTACCCCTTCTCCACACCCCCTCAACTACACAAGTTCTCCAAAAATTCAAACACCAATAACCGCCCCTTACCGTGCTAAAAAATATGATGATTTGTGTTGGGAAACGTTATTGGGGCAGGAAGTGGCAAAAATTGTTACAACGGTTAGATTTTGATAAAGTAAAGCTTGTGTTGGGTCACGGTGGGGTTAATGTTGTTGGAGAGGTTGCGTGTGATGATAAGGGTCCCAAGAAGCGCCGTTTCGTCTTTTACCGAATTTTTGACTTTTTTGGTGTTTCGTCTTTCGCCTTTAGTCCTTCGCTTTTTAAAATCTGCTAGGCACATCCCTATCGGAAAGTATAAGTGCGGAACGAAGGGTGGGCCTTTCTATGCTAGCATTATGCTGGTCGGTAACGAGCCCGTGGATGAATAAGCGCTCATGAGGAAATTATTAAGCCTTCAGCTTCTTCGACCGATTTCTACTTTCATCGAATGCAATATTTTTCCTAGTCCCTAAACGCTTTTCCACTATTTTACCCTAAGGCTTTATTTGCACATTTTCCTCCTCTTCTATCCTTCCCTAGCAGGAGCCGCCTTACAATAATTTTAAAAATATATTTGAAAAATTGGTAATCTTCTGCTTCATTGGTCCCTAGAAAAAACGAGGAAAAAGTGCTAGTTAGACATTTTTGAGGCATGCCAGTAGGTAATCGAGTGTGCTGAGTCCGAATATGGGCTTAGAATTTGTTTATTTCGAACCCTGGACCCGAATTCGACCAAGTCGAATATGGGGTAAAAATTCGAAATTTCAAATTTTATGTCTAATCGGACTAGTCTCTTCGAGCTGAGTCAATTGGTATCAAAATTATTGTGTTTCGACATCTTTAGACTAAGTTATGGTGTTTGATTTATACACGGAAGTCTAACCAAGCGTGTATTTAATTGATCATAACTCAGTCTAAAGTTGTCGAAACACAATAATTTTGATATCATTCGACTCAGCTTGAAGAGACGCGTCAGAATAGCGATAGCCTAATATTTTGAATTCTTACACCGAATTCGACTTGGTCGAATTCGGGTTCGGGGTTCGAAATAAACAAATTCTAAGCCCATATTCGGACTCAGCACACTCGATTACCTACTGGCATGCCTCAAAAATGTCTAACTAGCACTTTTTCCTCGTTTTTCTAGGGACCAATGAAGCAGAAGATTACCGAAAAATTTAAGGATTTGGTGATGACTGTAGCGGCTATTTTGGTAATCGATTTTTTACGAGGTCTTTGGATTCGATATTGTTCTGATTGGTGGTGTTGGGATATTGAGGCAACTTTTCCAGAATATGGGGAATTTAAAGTGGCTGAAAATGTGGTAAGAGATTTATATGATGTGTACGTATAGGGTTGTTGGTTCTTGGAAAATCTTCGGATGATCGGAACCGGACCGAAAATCCTCAGCTCTTCGGTTTGGTTTCTGAACCATGGGTGACCGAAATTTCGTTTCGCTTTTATGTGTTATTCCAATCCTCAGCAGATGAGGGTACAAATCTTATCACTATCTGCAGGTTATCAGCAGCAGACCAGTATAAGCATTTTCCAGTTTCTTTCGATTTTCTGGAGGGATAAAGAACTTGGTAAACCTCTAACCCATTTTTATAATACCGCCCGTAAATTGTAAAATGTTTAAATATTTTTCTAGCTCCACTTGGTCAATTCCCAAGCAATGGTTTGTCTAGGCACTATACTCGTTCCTATGCTTCCATTAATTAATTGTGTAAAACTTGTGGCTGTAATGTACATTCGTGCTTGGGCTTGTATGGTTTGTAATGTTCCTGCCAAACAAATATTTCGAGCATCTAGGTGCTTTTTTAAAGTTGAATTTTTTGAATATGTTTGGTTAAGTGCAAGTATGCAGGGACAATTCTGTAAACTAAACCTAGGCATATATTACCTTTATATGTATTCCCTGAGGATAGATAGCTATAGACGTTGGCTAGCCCCTGGCTAATACTTTTTACCAAACCACACCGGTGTGCTTCTCTTGTGGGGAAAAGACTGATTGTAAGGTAGATTCACATAGAGCATTTAAAACGCTTGGGCGGGGGTTAAACGATCTAAAGGGATAAAAGAGAGATAAAGAGACTTTCTCTCGGCTTTGGATATTTGGAAGTTTAAAATTAGCTCGTAAATTTGCTCGTATGGTGCAACATATGCGAGTGTGAAGACATTTTCAAGCCTTGGAAGGAAGTTTTTAAAAAAATTTCTTCCAAGCCTTCCAAACATCGGAACTTCCAAACCTCCGAGATCCCCATGATCCATATATGACGATTAATTCTATTCGAGATCTTTATCACCATAGGACTTTGGTATAATTATATATTGAAGACCTTTTAATGAAGTCCTATGATGTGTTTTGATATGATGGAGTGTTTTATTGTAATTAATTTAGTCAAGTCTATAGGGATAAAGCTCCCGAATAGAATTAATTGTCATATATGAATCTCGGGGAACTCGACTTCGGATATTTGGAAATTTAAAATTTGCTCGTGTTGTACAAGCTTTTTTTCATCGTACTCATACCTTTCTAATTTTTTCTCATATTCGAGTGTTAAAACGAATTTTGGTACGTGCTTCCAAGCATTGGTTTTCAATTTTTTTAATCTTCCAATCCATATTTCCAAGTACTGTCCGAGATCCCCGCGATCCATATATGACCATTATTTCTATCCGAGACCCTTATCACCATAGAACTTCGATATAATTATATATTGAAGTCCTTTTAATATTACATTTGGCCGGCATTCCTTTAAAAAATTCCGTAATAGTTTTTAGTGTTCGAGGCCTAGGCCCACTTTTATTTTTGGCTTCCTCGTAAACTTGCTCGTGTGGTGTAACATATACGAGTGCGAGGAAATGAAGAAGCCTTAGAAGGAAGTTTTTTTAAATTTTTTCTTTCAAGCCTGGAAGGCTTTCCAACCTTGGAGCTTCCAAAAACTTTGGAAAAACCTTGGAACTTTCAAGTACTGTCCGAGATCCCCATGCTCCATATATGACGATTAATTCTATTCGAGATCTTTATTACCATAAGACTTTGGTATAATTATACTGGGAAATCCAATATGACTAGGGCATCCATTAACACTTAATGCTCACCCAGAAGATTATGACTGTTTAACGTTTATGTCTTACAATTTTAGGTCAAGCAATTTTTATTTTTGGCTTTTACTTGCCTTTGTTTGTATGAGTACTTTACCTGTTGGATATGTTATTGCATATAAAAGACCTTCCAAAAATTGTGGTCCATTTTCTGGACAAGAACGGTTTTATTCAATTATTGGGCAAGTATTGAGACAACATTTGCCTAAAAGTTTGGTTGAAGTTATCTCTTATTTTATGTCACCAGGAATTATTTTTCCTGTAAGTATTATATAGATAATAATTTTTGGATATAGTTTAGTATACCGGAGTCTTAGTCTCGTACAAAACCCATACCATTCGATTCGTCTCGACGATCTGGGTAGATGGTACCACTCTATACTTCCGGGGATGACTGTGGGCCGAGATATAGATCCCCGGAAATCAAAAAACCATAGGGGGGAGTAAGCACAATTTTGGGGTCGAAACTAGGGTAGGACGAGACCGTTTAATGACCTCGTTTATTGTTCCCTGTGGCGGGTCAAAAAGAGAAGGGAAAAGTCAGCCACAGGGAAAAATAAATCTCGAATTAAACGGTCTCGTCCTACCCTAGTCGAAACTAAAACTCCGGTATACTAAACTACAGCCTAATTTTTATTCATTTTTAAAAAATTTTTCAAAAAACGAAAGAAAATTATTTTGGCAATAAAAAAGCTATTTGATCTGTTAACATAAGTCTCTTCATTTCTCTTCATTTCTTACTCATTGCGGATTGACAAATGACTAACCACTGGCTTTTTAAAAAAAATCTTTTTCTTGACCAAAACCTGTTGACAGCTTTTCTAAATAAGCGTTTCGAATTATAAGCTGTCAATATAATGTGGCGGCTTTTTACTTTGAGAAAATTTTTTCAAGGTTCACAAAAAATTTTCTTTGGCCGTCTTTTGTGTATTTTTGTAGCCCTATTTATTGCCTGCCTATTAAATTGTCTAGGGAAAACTTTTTAGTTTACTAAGAAATTTATTAGAGTAGCAATTTAGGTAATAAAAATCAAAAATTCCGGAGATCTTCCCCACCATTTGATGAAAAATGTCAAGAAAATCTTTTTAACTACACCTCTTTCTCGAGATCTCAAGATCCAAAATTAACGGCAAATGAATATTTTTTAAAGGTTTAAGAGCAGCAGTATTATAAAATTCTCTCTCATAAAAAATTTGAATTTTTTTATTCACTTGAATTTAATTTTCTCCAATAGGTCTTCCTCATCCTGGTGCTTGTTATATATTTTTTGGTTCTTCTTGTTAGCGGTTATTTTAGTTACAAAATTTTCCAAAAAAAATAATTTTTCTAAAGGTTTAAGAGCAGCAAATTCAGATTTAAATAAACAATTAACCCTGGAAAGGACTGAAGAAAAACGTCGAATTTTTGAATTGGCGAAAGGCAAACATTTGGCAATTTCTCACAAACACAGGCCTAGCGGGGAAAGCCGAAAAAGTACAAATGGAGGGGGAACAAATGGAGGGAAAATAAATGGGGGAAGAGTAGTGGATGATGATGAGGAAGAAGAGGGGGGAGGAAAGGAGGGGAAAAAAGAAGAATCTAAAAATGGTCATCCTTTATTCTTTTCCAATGGAACAGCAAAAACAAATGGAGTAAGAAAAAGTTGGCATGGGGGAACAGGAGGAGGAGGAAGTGGGGGTGGTGATCAAGTTGGCGGTACAGACAAAGATTTTTTGTTAACACCTTTTTTGACACCAAAACGACGATCTCCTATTCTTCGACAATATTCGGTTATTTTTCTTTACAGTAAAGGTTTGACCATTTTGAGCCCCTGTAACCTAAGCTCTGACATTTTTGAACCCATGTAGCCCAACTTAGAGATATCCCTTGCAATAGTTATGGTGTTCGACTCAGCTCGATGAGTTTTATCGTTTTATGGACATACTGACCATTTTGTACATCTTAACTAAAAAATTTCAAAAGTTTGACCATTTTGAGCCCCCTAATAGTCTATGAATTTTGACATTTTTGAACCCTTGTAACTTAGCTTAGAGATATTCCCGTGGAATGTTTCTAGTGTTCGACTCATCTCGATGAGTTGTATCGGTTTATGGACATACTGACCATTTTGTACATCTTAAACAAAAAATTGCGGGGGAAAGAAGGAGGCGAACGATAAGACTTGTTTTCCATTTTTAGGATGATTCTTCTGGAAGTTCCCCATCAAAATCCCCGCTTCGTCATGCCGGATTTCTTCCTTCATTAGCATCAGTGGATGAAAATGAGGATGAGGAAAATGAAGATGATGATGAGGATGAAGAAGACGAAGAGATTGTACATGGCCATGCGGAGGCAATGATATTTAGAAGAAAGAGGAGTAATGCAAGTACACAACAAGGGGTTCGAGATATTTTAATATTGGTCCCGTTTCCCAGTGCCTTGTGTGGAGTTTAAGTTGTGAGGTCGCGCATGTCGCGATCATAAGTGAACTCCACAGTGTATATGAAATAGATGAATCGCACGTAGTGGGGAATATAGGGTGTCTACTTCCCTATAAGACACGATGGATATGGATATGCCTGCCGGCAACTCTAAGCTGCCTGAATGAAGAAGTGATCTGCCCTAACCTATTCCATTAGAGCTTATATGCACCAGCTTGCTTAACAAATAGCTTTTCTCAGTGATAACTTAGTGGCGACTTGAGCTTAGATATGGGCTGCTTTTTGTTTAAAATGTCCATTTGTGGCGTTCTTCCGTTAACTAGAGTTAGAATACTATCGCTCTTCACTTGTCTTGTTAGGATGATCCCGGCCTTAAAATATAATAATTTTTGCCAGTTTAAAAAAAATTATTGAAGGCAAGTCGTCGTTCAAGTGCAGCGCAACAACAACGACGTCGAAAAAGTTCCTCAGCAACAAAAAGTTCAGCAAAACATTCACAAAAACAAAATTTAAAAGAAATAATGAAAAGACCCTCCTTGCAATTAACCTGGAAAGATCGCTTCCTTTTGTGTATTGGGTGGACAGATCCGGCAAAATTGGAAGCAAGATTACGTGAACAAATGAAAGAGAATGAGATGGAAAAAGGAAGAAGAAAAATTGAAGAAGAGGAGGAAAGAGAAGAAAAAGAAGAACAACCACTCTTATTAAATGGAAGAAGAAAAACAAAAGGAAGAGAAAAATTGGAAACAAAACAACAATCTGTTGTGCTTGAAGAGGTCCTTTATTTTATCCCTCGTTTAATTTTAATGCCCAGATATCATCCATATATCCTCTTAAGCTTCAGAAATCCACAGTATACCATTTGACCTCCAAAATCCCTTGATCCTCAAAATCGCTCGATACCCACTCTTAATCCTCCAAATCCCTGATCTATTCAGGCGATTCCCCTGAATCAGTCCTCTGAATTCCCTGATATATTCAGAGGATTTAGGGATCTAGAGATCCCTTTATTCCCTAAATACACTCTTAATTACTTCTAGTCCCTCTATATTCTTCCGTTGGGGATGAACCGAGGTATATACGAGGGGGATTGAACCGTGCGGACTGAAACTAGATGAAATATAGAAAATCCTCTTAATCCCTCTCCTCTGGCCTGATATCCCCTCAAATTTACTGTTATGCCTTTTTCCCTTGAAATGAGCTGCTCCGCCCTCCTACCCTGTTTCTTTATGCATATTTATTTGACAAACCCTCAAACTTTAAATTTAAGGCAGAATATTCAGTTCCCTCTGGTGAAGAGGAGGAAGAACAGCCAGTGGGTGATGTTGAAGATGAAACAATTTCCCCAAAAATATTACAAGAAACCCCAAACAACAACAAAATAGATATTCGAAAAAAATATTTAAATGGAATTTTAATTGGTGAAAATAATGACAGTTTTGAAGATACAAGTAGATTACCTTCAGCTTTAAGTCAAGGAAGTAATAGCAGTTGTAGTCGAGTTAGTAATCAACAACAACAAACACCTAACATTATTGTTAATAAGTAGGGAATTTATTTGTTTTTGAGGTACCTAACGCTCGTCAAGGCTGTGCGCCATGGCGTTTTGGCTTGGCGTTTTTGGCTGTGCGCCATTTTTGTCTGATTTTTTGGCGTTGTGGCGTTGGCGTGTTTTATAAATTTGAAAATTTGGCGTTTGCGTTTTGCGCGCCACGCGAAAATTTTGGCGCATAGCCCTGGTCATGAACTGATACTTCAGGGATCCTGCCGACAAGAAAATAAATTTCACGATTTCGGGAAATCGTGAATCGGGTCGGCAGGACCCCTGGTATACTACTTGTTATGAACGGATATTCTATGACGATATGTAACCGGCTTTGTATTTTACAACCTATGGTCAGGTATTGTAGACTTTCTATTCCCTTGGGATAGATTCGTTGTATTCCAAAAAAACCTTTTATGGGTATAGAAAGCTCCACACATAACCAGAATTATGGTACACGAGAAATACAGAGCCTTGTACTTATCGCCATTGGGTATCAATCAAGGCTGTCTGCAATTGAAAAAAATGTTACGCAGCCGCAATCCGCAACCCGCAATTTTAATTTAAAAATCCGCAAACGCAATCCGCATGTCAAAGAACGCAATTTCACGCAATTGCGGACAGCCTTGGTATCACTTCAATCGAATTTGCAACTTCTACATTACCCGCAAGAAAGTTCATTTCCTCCTATTCAATTTTAGATTGGCTGATCTTTATGAAGAACACCCTCCAAATGTTTCTTGTAGTAGTAGCAGTTCCTCAATAGGGACGGGCTCTCAAAGAAGTTGGGTACGTCAACAACAACCCCAACAAACAACAAATTTAATAAATTTTGCTCTACCCCAATATAATCAAATAGACGATGAAGAACAAAAAGGGGTTGAAAAAGAAGATCGACAAGGTTCATTAAATGGACACGAAAAGAGGTGATTTTCAAATTTTTTGAAAATTTGAAAATCTTTTTAAAGGATTTCACTTGAAAGGGAGCACGTTTCTGAAAGTTCCCCTCTTTCTCCAAATGGTGGTAAACATGTTACTTTATTCCCTTCTGAAGAATTGGCACGCCTTTCAATTGACAAAAGACATCCCTTACCTATTAATAGAGAATATGAAGGACAACAGAACCCTCAAAGTTTGCCTCCGTTAATTCCTAGACGGAAGCCAACAACTTTAACTTATGGACACCAGGCACCTTTGTTCATTCAACAAAGAAATGGGGGTGGGGGAGGAAGAGGAGGTGACATTAGATCCCATGATGACATTAGATCCCATGAAGGAAATTTAATATTAAATGGTGATTTGTCTTTGTTACTTGAACAACCAAGCACTCCGATTGGCAATTTTAGACCAATACAAGCATCTGAAATGTTTGAAGAAGAAGGGTCTTTTGATAATAATAAAACACCAGAAACGGCTTCTTCAATTACTACAAATACTACTTCAATTAGTGAACGTTCTGATCCTAGATTACAATATGCTAATCCTTATAGCAGGTGTTTTTAATTTTTATGAAGATATGTAGTTGGTTTTGGATGAGACATTTGATCCCATAATCCTTTTATCCTTATTTTTGGTATTCATTTTTTTCAAGATTATTCTTTTTTCTTTTTAAGGAAGCAGAGAGATCCAACTGGCTAGCATTTTAAATTCGTACTAGGTCGGGGTTTAAGATCGCGAATCCCGATAGTAAAGTTGTCACATGGTGAGTAGTGTTGCCAAAATGTGGCGACTCGGACCGAATGATCGAGTGGGGTCTGAGATATTTAGCCGAAAAAGACCCGTACGGCCCGACTAGATAAAGTTAGGCCCGAAAAAATGACTTGACCGTCGGCTGAACTCGAAAACGGCAACCCTAATGGCGAGAAAGAAGTGGCTAGCACGAACTTTATAGAAAAATCTGTTTAAAAATCAATTTTGTCATTTAAAAACAAATTAAATTAAAGTTATGCTGCTGCAATGTGTTCACCGATAATACCTGATGAGACAATACTAAATCAACGAAAGAAAAGTTTTTCAACAAAATCTTCAACACCTCCCCAACAACACCAACAATATTACAGTACTAGTCACTCTCATTTACCTCCTCCCCCCTCAACATCCTTACAATTTTTACAGCGTCGCAATTCTCGTCAACCAACACCCCCAGCAATATTTTCCCCAAAATTTGAACAAGATTTTGCACAACAAAAAGAAATGGCAAAAATATTTCACTATACTCCCCCTCCTCCCCCTCAACATTCGTCCTCCTCTTTTTCGTCTTCTGGGCATGATTCCTCCGCATCAACCTCTTCAAAGGCTGGAATTTCTTCCTCTAAAATACCTCATCCAAATTTGACAGCTATACAGAAAAGAAGAAAACAACAATTTGCGTCTGCATTTGAACATGTACCTAAAATGTAAGGGAAAAGATTTTTCTCCCCAAAAATCAGCTTAGTCCCACCTTACATTTTTGAGCATTATGAGTAGTGCCTGGCAAAATCGATTTTACCGGACCCGGATTCCGGATTTGTAACTTGAACCGGATCCGGCAGGATTTTCCGGATTAGTCCGGTTCGGAAAAAATCCGGGCTGTAGTGTAGTGTACCGGTGGTAAAAGTTCGGGATGTGACATATGTCATTCGATTTGTCTCGACGAGCTGAGTCGAATGGTACCACTCTCTACTTTAGGAAATGATTCTGGGCTGAGTTATAGATCCCGAAAAATCGAAAAACCAAAGGGGGGACCAAGCACTTTTTTGGGGTAAAAAATTCGAATATACAAATTATACCTCATTCGAAAGAGCTCGTCGAGCCGAGTCGAATGACACCAAAATCAACGAAATCTGACTTGATTTGACAAAATTATGCTCGTTTGTTTTAGCTCCTTACCTATGGCGCCCGTGGAGGTTTTTGCTGGTACTGGAGCCCCAAGTACATCCAGAGCAAGGGAGATGGGACTAGGTTTATGTTACGAGCCCAGACCCAACGCCCGTAGACTCCCCGCGAGGCGCGTGCCGCAAAACCCCGCGCGAAGCGCGGGGTTTTGCACAAGCGCCTCGCCGACGCCCCATAGGTTTATGCTGTTAGTTTTTCGATTGTAACTTTGTCCAAACTTTTACAATCAAGCTGATTTTGGTGTCATTCGACTCAGCTCTATGAGCTCTTTCGAATGAGCTATTATTTGCATATTCGAATTTTTCACCCCAAAATCGAGCTTACTCCCCCCTATGGTTTTTCAATTTTTCGGGACCTATAACTCGGCCCAGAATCATTTCCTAAAGTAGGGATTGGTACCATTCGACTCAGCTCGTCGAGATGAATCGAATGACATATGTCACGTCCCGAACTTTTACCACCGGTACACTACACTATATCCAAAATCCGAAGACCGCGAAAAAAAACCCGGATTTGGAATCCGGAAATATCCGGTCAGGCGCCGGGCACTAATTATGAGACCATAAGTCGGACCATAGTTGAATTCCCAGCCTAATTTTGGTGTCCATTCAGCTATGCTTGGCGAGCTTTTTTTAATGATACATATTGTTTATCCGACTTGGAGTATGGGTGATGGAATTTTTCTAATTTTTTTTTCAAAGATATGATCAACCAACATTAGACCAACAACAATATTATAACGATTATTATCGTTCCCCTCATTTATTAACGAGAATAAGTGGTGGTGGGGATGAAGGTGGTTCAACAACAAGTGGACGAGGAACTATGCCCCCTGGTTTTGGTGATGGTGGGGGAAGGGGATATGGAAGTAGTCCACCACAAACAACATCGGAAAGTAGTCCTGTATGTTGTTTTGTTTAAAGGAATTTTGAAAATTTTATTCAATTTTTAAAGGAATTTGGCCATTCCAAATATAAAATTTCTTCACTTTCACCAGGAAGGCATAAAAGAGAACAAGTAAAAAAAAATTTTTGTTATCTTTTAGTTTACTGGTCCTTAGAAAAATCCACAAGAGTCCTTTCGATATTTTTGAGGTTTTTAGATAGGTAATCGAGTGTGGTGACATAATTCCGATGATTAGCCCAGAATTTGTTCATTTCGAAATTTGGACCAAATTTTAATAGAGATAGGTGATTGATTGAAAAAAACCTTGATTCGTGGGTTTTGGTTGAGGATCGTGACCAGATTATTGACTTTGAGTTAAGGGGGAATCAAGGAACACTGGAAAATGCCTTGAGCTTGACTCTATATAAAGATTAGGGTTGCCAGCCCGGTCCGAGCCTGGTCCGGTCGAGCGTCGAATTTTGGCCCGAAAAAGTACTCGATGCTCGACTCGATAAAAATGAGGTCCGAAAAAATGACTCGAACGTCGGCCCGACTCGAAAACGGCAACCCTAATAAAGATTAAGGTTTGGATTAGTGTTTCAGCGGAACCGAAATTTTGATCGGAACCGGATCCAATTTGAGTTCCGGTTCCCGGAACCGGAACTTCCGGTGAGACTCTAATTTGGATCCAGATCCAGGCCGATCTCTAAATTCTGAGCTAATATTGGGACTCATACACACTCAGTAAATTACCTACTGACAGATACAAAATATCTGTTCTTTTTTTCTATGGCCAGTAGATTAGAAAATTAACAAAAAAAAATTTTATTTTTAAGGAAATTGAAAATTATTGTGGGGATTCTTCAACAACAAGTCCAGAAGGTAGCCCTCCTAAACGGAGATTTGAAATAAGGCAAAGATCAGGTCTAGGATTGGGCCGTCCATTACGCATTCCAACAACAGGAAATAATTTTAATGATAGAAAGAAAAGGGACGATAAAACCCCTTTAGCCTCAAAACAGAGCATTGTTTAAATACGAAAATTGTTTTTAAATTTATTTTTTTTCTTTCGTTATTTTTTTTAAATTTAATTTTCATTTGTGTAAATATACAACCTATTTTTTATCGAAAAACAATTAATTTTTATTGGCGCAAATTAAATGGCGCCAATAAAATTTATTGGCGCAAATTAAAGAAAAAAAGATTTGCGAGCAAATCAAAAAAAAGATTTGCGAGCAATTTGCGAGCAGTTTTTCAAAAATACGAAAAACAACAACATAAGGTAAAAAGAGCTCTATATTTTTCGGTGAGTCGTCCGTATGGTGAATCGTCTTTTGGTGAACTGTACGGCTGCCCAATCGTCATTGATGCCATTTTACTGACCATTTTTACATATTTTTCGAAAAAACTGACGGGGGGAGGGATACTAAATAAGTACCCACTTTTTTTGATTTGCTCGCAAATCTTTTTTTCTCGCAAATCTGTCTTGCCGAACAAGATTCCCGATAGATTTTGACGGTTACCATTTTTAATTTTGGGATTTTGTAAAAATTAATTTTTGACACTTTGAAATTTTCTTTCAAATATCAAAGTGGTAACAGTCAATTGGGCTAAAAATAAAAAATATTTTTATTTTTTCTTTATTTTCTAGACTTTTTTTTCTTACAGTCGTCGACATAAAGATAGGGACAAGAGTAATTTAAATGTAAATTAACTATTTTTCAGTCAAAAAATACGTTCTATATATCAATCGAAAGCTCTATTCGTATCTCAGTTGACATGTTTTTGCATTTTTCATGAAAATGAAAATTGGCCGAGATAATCCGGATCTACCGGATATACCAAATCCCATAGCCTCGGAAAAAATTTTCGGAAAAAATTTAACAAACCCAGTTGATAAAGCATATTTTTGTGAGTATTTACCACAAAACCGCTTAGAAATATCTTTTTCCGGTCCAGAGATATGATTTTTTGAAAATGGCATTTTTCGTCTATTTTTGCAAAAAATTGAATTTTTAAGCGAAAAATGCCATTTTCAAAAAATCATATCTCCGTCCCGGAAAAAGATATTTCTAAGCTGTTTTTTGGTAACTACTCACAAAAATATGCTTTATCAAATGGGTTTGTTAGATTTTTTCCGAAAATTTTTTCCGAGGCTATGGGATTTGGTATATCCGGTAGATCCGGATTATCTCGGCCAATTTTCATTTTCATGAAAAATGCAGAAACATGTCAACTGAGATACGAATAGAGCTTTCGATTGATATATAGAACGTATTTTTTGACTGAAAAATAGTTAATTTACATTTAAATTACTCTTGTCCCTATCTTTATGTCGACTACTGTATTTCTCGCATGCAGGATTTTTTCTAAAAATTTTTCCCCCAAAATTCCGCGCGGGATCCCGTCCCGCACCGACTTCTATTATTTTCCCTACTTTTCGATTTTTTGGAGACATTTTGCTTTAATTTTAATTTTTATATTTTTCAGTATGAAACGTACTTATTTACTTCGTAGACCTAAGGACGACGACGAAGAAGATTTTTATTCACAAGAAGCAGTCAAAGCCAAACCAATAGACCCCCATTTAGCCCGAAATTTGGGTCCAGCATTTGCTGCTGGGAAAGATTTTGTTCGGGCTAGTCAGAAATCTCAAAATGAATTTTATGGAAGTCAAAAAATTGTGGAAGCGAGTACTTCTGGAGGAGGTGGGGGAGCTGAAAAGGAATATAGAGAAATGACTCATGATGAAAGAAATAATTTGAGTGCAAGTATTATTAAAGCTGAATTGAAGGGAGACAAGGTTTCTTTTTATTTTGAAAATGTTAGTGTCTTATAGTAGAATTCGGCACGGTACGGGATTTTATGGGTCCCGCGGGATCCCTTCCCGTTCAAAATTTTTAAACTCAATCCCGTTCCGGGATCCCGGGAAGGCGATTTTACCGACCTCTATCTTATAGATCGAGATTGGGCCAGGTTCCGGGCCTGTAGTCCAGGAAAAATCCAGGCCTAGGAAAACCCAGGAAGATCAAAAAATGCCTAGGCCTGGACTCTGGTTACAGGAAAAACCCAGGCCTTGGTCCAGACCCGGGCCGATCTCTATTCAGTTGTGACGGGAGCTGTTTCTCGACCAATTTTACAGATTTTGAATTTTTTTGTTCGAAACACCTCTGGGTTGACATCCTTTAAGAAGCAAAATTTTGATCTAGTACCAAGCAAAATTGTGAATTTACAAAATCTGTGTATTTCACTAATTTGTAATAAAGTTTTATGGTTCTAATCCGCGGATTTTATCCCGAAAATCGAAAAAGTGTTGTATTAGGAGACCGTAAATCAACGCTGGACCCCTTACCATCCCCTTTTTCAATAAAAAAATTTAATTTAAGAGGGGCCAAGAGCTTTTATATCTTTTCATTATTTCCATGAAAAGGGACACGCCCAAAACAACGCGGGCCAAAACTACGCGACCAAAACTACGCGACCGAAACTACGCACGCCCATAACTACGCAAAACTAACTATTTAGTAATGTCCGGCAAAATCAGTTTCTTGATCCGAAAACCGGACTTTGAATTCCATGCTCGTGCCGGACCGGCTCCGTTTGAATTTTTCCGAGTTCCGAAAATAATTATTTTCCGGAAAAATATTTTCCGAATTACGGAAATTATTTTCAGGAAAATGATTCCGGAATAGTACAGATTTTCCTGAATTTTCCGGATTTTCAGGAAACAATTTTCCGTATTCCGAAGAAAGAATCATCAGAGAGTGATCAACTGATCAAGGGTGATCATCAGAAAGTGATCTATTGATTAACAGCAGATTTTCAATTTGAATGTACTAAATAGTTTTGCGTAGTTTTGGCCTTGCGTAGTTTTGGCCTGCGTAGTTTCGGTCGCGTAGTTTTGGGCTGTACCCCCATGAAAAAGCTCGTGTTTTTCTTCGTATAATTTCGAGGTCACTTTTAAATTTGTTGCTTAACCCTAATCCAAATTATTTTTAAATTTTTAGGAAAAAGTAGTAAAATTAAAAAGAAGACTTGAAGAAGGAATTATTGAAATTAAATCAAAAAAAGGTGAAGCTGGACAAGAAAAGAATGGTGAGAAGAAACCTGTGATATTAATGGAAATGGACAGAAAGAGTGGATTGACTAAACCTGCAGTTGCTTCAAATAAGGTTTTTTTAATTTGAGTGAAGCTTTTTTGAGGACAAACAGGTGGCGCTAAAATTGGGTTTGGCGTTTGCTTTTGCGTTTCGAACGTAAATTTTTTGAAGTTAGACGTTATAGGCAAAAATTCACTTTTTTCCCGATCCTCTCCTCAAATTTCCCCCTTCCCCATTTTGGGGAGGGGGGGGGGCTTTAGCCCCAGAAGTGGCTACGCCCTTGAGGCCGACTTACAGAAGTATAGAATACTCTAATTTTTTTATTTTTTAGTCAAATAAAACGGCAGACAATTCTAACAACAATAAACAACAAATAATGGGTGTACTTGAAGAAGAATATTCAAAACAATCAAGTTTGGACGATATGCTTGCTGAAGAGAAGCGAACGACTGCTGAGGATCAGCTTTCAATGTTTAACCAGGCTGCTGAGGTTTTTAATATTTTTGGACTGGGGATTTTGTTGTGCAATTGGACCTGGTTTTATTGACAATTTGAAGCCCTATAACTCCAAAAGAGTGACTCTGGGGCCAAAAAATCAAAAATTGTCAATATATTTTCGACCATAGTCTCTAACTATGCCAAAAAATTGTTAGGAAGGAAGGTTTTAGGAAGGGGTTTTTGTTGGGAAGGTTTCCTTTTATGCTGATTGCGTTTCTTTTCTGGCTTGTAAATTTCTTTAGATTTTAGTCAACATTTTTTTCATTTTTTAAATTCCCTGAAATTTTTTCCCTAGTAGGTAGTATTTTTAATTTTAAATAAATTCCATTTCTTAAAAATTTTTCCAGATATTTTCACAAAACCGTCAAGACGAGGAAGGATTTTTTGATGATACTTTGGATAGTCGGAAGAAACGGAAATTTGATAAAGCCGATTCTCAACAACGCCAAACAATGATAAAAGGTTGGGAAATTTTTTTATTTGTTTTTAAAAATTCAAAAAATTCTATTGGGGTTTATGTCGGCGACTATTCAAAAGAACATAAATATAGGTGCATATAAAGCAGGGATGTCACGGGTTGAGTTTTTTAAAAATTTCCTTTCTAAAAAAGTTCGGATTTCGATTAGCTCTTGGCATATAAAGGGACATTGAGTCCATTTATATCAGAAATGCCAAGGTTTACTCGAAATCCGAAACCAGACTTTTGATCCGGGTTCGGATTAAACCCGATCTTTACTATGTATAAGGGGACATTTAGTCTATTTATACAAAGGATGCCCTTCATTTATTTAAGAAAAATCTTATCTTATATTTTTTTATTTTGAGAATTTTTTAAACATTTTTTAACCTGAAAATAACTTGAAATTTTTCTTAAAAATTGGGATCAATTGTCATCATTTTCAAATTAAAAAAAATTTTTTTTTCCTTTTTCTTATTTTCTGAATTTTTTAAAAATAATTTTTAACCCTCAAAAAACAATTTTAGAGACCAAAAAAATTTATTCTTTTTAAAATTAAATAAATATAAATTACACAAAATTTATTTACTTCTCAATAATAAGCTAAATTCATGTATTTTCTTTGATAATTTCCTCAGGGCTGCTTTTCTTTCATTTTCTTGATTTTGTCGTTCTAATTCTTTATTTGAAGGGATTGGAGAAGTTGTTGAACCTATTTGGAATTTTTAGGAGTTTAAAAAAATTATTTGAATCTGGGGCCTCTAAAGAATCTTTAAATTTGGGCGAAATTTTGAGAATTTTGGAAGGACAAGAAGTCAGAAATTTTCCTTTTTTAGTGCCGCAGTCGGAAATCTTGAGAATTTTTGCGGATTGTAGGCGAAAACAAATTCACTTTTCTGATCATTTCCCTCCCTAAAATTTTTGGCTCTACTCCAGTTTATGCGTCCAATCGACTTTTATGCGTCCAATGAAAGTTTATGCGTCCAATAAAAAGAAAATTGGATTTTTCTTGGTATTGCACAGTTAGGGTATGGTTTCAAAACATTTCTTCATGTTCGGGACCTACGTCCACTGGGTCTGGGACCGTTTCTTGCCCTATCACTCAAAATTTCGAAAAGTTATAATTGTTTTTCCGAAATTTTTAAAACTTGGCTACAACTCCAACTTCAAAATATAAAGAAAAATCCAATTTTCTTTTGATTGGACGCATAAAAGTCGATTGGACGCATAAACTGGAGTAGAGCCAATTTTTTCGCTCTCTCCCATTTTTGGAAGGCTCTTTGCATCTAATTAGGGTTGGGGTTTTCGATAGAGTTTCACCGGAAGTTCCGGTTCCGGTTCCGGAAAGTTCCGGTGTTTTTTTGGTTCCGGTTCCGGGAACCGGAACTCAAATTGGTTCCGGTTCCGGCTCCGGTTTACAAATCGGTTCCGGGCAAACCGGAACTTTTTTACACCCCTAAGGATTAGTTTTTTTAAGAAATATGGATTGGCCTTGCAATATTTTCCCCGATTGGCCTTCCAAAATTCTCAAAATTTTCGCCTGCGGCGCTTAAAAAGGAAGAATTTTGTATCCTTGGTTCACCTAAAATCCCAAATTTTCGCCTGCGGCGCTATGAAGGGAAGTTGTATGGTAAATCGAAGGATTTGGATGGATGAAGGTGGATTTTGAGTTACATTATGTGAGTTCAAGGGGTTATAGGTAATATAGAGGGATTTGGGTGTGATGTCCAGGGAATGAGCTGTGCAAGTTTGATATCAGGGATTGAATAGCTAGGGATTTGGTCTTCCAAAACTTGGATTTTTTTCGTTTCGATTAACAGAAGAATTTGGCAGAATTTAATCGAAAAATTTGGCGAAACCACACCCCTACTTAAAATAAAAATTTTTTAAAATGTGCTAGCAAAAATTTTTTTAAAAGTTCCGGTTCCGGGCCGGAACTTTGAAAAGTTCCGGTTCCGGTTCCGGGAACCGGAACTTAAATTGGATCCGGTTCCGGTCAAAATTTCGGTTCCGGTGAAACACTAGTTTTCGAGTTGAGCCGTCGTTTGAATCATTTTTTCGGGCCGGCCCGACCGAGTCTTTTTCGGGCCAAAATTCGATGCCCAACTCGATCTTTCTTTCTGACCGGGCCCCTAACTCTTACAGTCATTTTTTCGTTTAATTAACAGCTTTTTTCAGCTTGCTCCCAAATTAGTTTTCTTAGTTGATTTCCGTAAATGTCCCCATCTAGCCTTTCATTTAAAAATTAATTTTTCCCTCTTATTTTTACCAAAAATCAAAAATTAGTATATTTTTGCAGAAATAATTAATTTTCTTAATTAATTTTAGAAAACTTGCCTAGCATTTTCTCTGATGATTCTTTTAAATTATTTTTTATTTTATTATTTCTTTCACCACTTTTTTTATTTTCTTCATTATTATTAATTATTGTCGTTAATTTTCCAATATTTTCATTTTTTATTCCTCCCCCAGTCAACCTTCTCTCAACAGTTGAAGGAGAAGGTGTTTGTTGTAATAATAAATCTTTTCCTTTGCTAGTATTAAATTCAAAAGGTTGTTGTCCTTCGTCTGTTGCTTCTTCTCCTTCAACGGAAGTCCGGCATTTTATTTTTTCGTAATATGTTGCTTTTCGAAATGGTCTCATTAAACGGGGGTTGTCATATTGGGTTTCAACTAGCAATTCACAAAAGCCTGTTTTTTGGTCCTAAAAAATGTTTGGGGAAATTTGTGTTTTAATATTTGGGGTAAATGTTGGGAAGAAGATAGGGAGAGGGATATTTGTGAAAATTCTGTAATTAGAGGGGCACGGGGGGGGGAGTATTTGATAGAGAGAAAGTTATGTATGTGGGTCTAGAATAAAGTTATGGGTCTAGAATAAAGGTGTCATTAGCGATCAGTCTTGGTCGGCACCTGAGCTGCCGACGTCCTTAGTCATTCCTGCCTTTTGCCAGCTTCGTCATTCTTGTATTTACTATTCTGATAAATCTGTTACTCTATTCTTATGTTTTTCTGTTAGCCACTAGGTAAGACTAGTCCTAGGATATAACAAAGAGAGTTAGTAGATGAACAGGGAAGGGGTATATTTGGGCGATTTTTCAGGTAGAGGGGAGTGGAAAAGAGAATTTTTGAATGGATTCTGTGATAACAGGGGCATATTTTCTTTTGATTTTATATTTGTGCTGTCTTATCTTATTGTGTTAGATCTTCCGGAGAGTTTAACCTCAAAAATCGACTAATACTTAAATTTTTTCTCAATTAAAGCTCAACTAAAGTATCCGATCCCTAGTTTATTTTCAACGTTCAATTTACGTTACCTTTTTTCCTCCAATCGATTCAAAGTAATTTACAGCTTTACATCTAGTTGTTTCCAAACAAAATTGTAAGCATAAAGAATGTTCACGAACTTGTTTAGCTCCAATCATCTCACCAAAATAGACGTACTCGGGAATTGCATGGCTTTCCAACCCGAAAGGGCAATCTTTAAAATAATTTTTATTGATTGTTCGAATTAGAAACTGGACTTAGGGTTCAAGATCGAGTGCGAAAACCTCGATAACAAATTTTTGAGCGAACAGGAAGAGCAGACCAACACCTTCGTCAAAGCCTTAGTCTTATTAAGTCAATGCTAAGGAATCGGTCCAAAACTAGTGTTGGTCCCCGACGTGGGGGTCTCTCAAATTCCCCATTTTCGGGGACGGGGACCAACCCCACCCAAAACTAAAGGAAATTCCAGCCTTAGCATCAAAGACTTATAAAAATCTTCACCTAATTCTTCCCAATTCTTCCTAATTCTCTTCCTTCTATTTCTTATTTTCACCAGAAATATGGGAGGATATTTATATTCTCTATCCAAACAATTTAATCATTTATTTACCTGATTCATCATATACAATGTCATAAAATGGGGGTTGTTGTGGAGGGTTCATGTGTGCACGGGCATCTCCAAACCATTCTGTTGTTGCTTTTGTTTTTTGTATAAGTAGGGTTATTAGAAGAGTTAATGAGGAATAATAATAATGATAGTACATTATTTAACTTTGGAAGGATAAATTTCTAAAAAAATTATTTTAGTATTTTTGTTTAGGTTGGGGGGAGAAGGGTTTCGGGGATTTTTTGGAAAGTTTTTTGTAAAGTCATTTTTGAATATTTTAAATCCAGAAACGCAATTGGTGTCCTTCCCTATATCTTGATTTGCAAGTGGTTATGACTTGGTCTTTAATTGAGACTAAATTGGTGTTGGTTTAAGGAGAGGTTTTCTCGGGGTTTTCAAGCAACTGTCTTTGCCTTCTCATCGAGGCGTATCCCTGTTTAATTGTCATACCGACTGTTAGGACGAACCTGAGGCCCCGCTAGGTATCAAACCTGAGTCTCTCCGTTAAGTAGGGTGTTGATGTTTTTCTGCCTAATATTTAAACTAAGTAAAAGAGGTTTTAAAGAGATTAAATTTTAGAGAATTGAAAAAAAAGAAATTTTTTTAAAATGAAGGGTTGGAAGTATTTTTCTCCAAATTTAAATATCAACTGCCTATTTAAATTTGCACCTCAATGTAAACAACACAATTTTTATTTTGTCAATTTTATTTGCTATATACGGCCTTAGAAAGGTTGTTTTAGTTGAGAGAGTGTTTGAGGGGCTGTATATTTTAATTATATTTTTATTTTTGTGGCTGCGGGTGATCACTTTTCTTCTTCTTCTTAACCACAGGCAAAGATTGTGTTTGTTGAGCTCTTCTCCCTCTTATTACCAAATTTCGCAACGTATTCGTCAAAGGCGATCAAAACGCATTCATGACCATCACAGAAACGCCTTTTAATTCTTTTTTTATTCACAACACTAGCAGAAACAAAAATACACACAATCTTCGCTCCACTCAATATAAGGGATAGGGGTACGTTTGGGCGTCAGTTTATAGACGTAAGCTTTTAAAATAAGCTTGTGAGGACCTAGGATCTTCGAAATTTTTGATGGATGCATTTTTTAGTGTTTTCTAATGGAGTCTAGATTTTGTTAGAATTTTTAGGTATTGGAAGAGTTTGGGGGATAGAGTCTTCGTATAACCAAAAATGTTGAATTTTTCAAGATGTGACTGATTTTTCGTTCATAACTTTCAATATACTTTACCAAAAATTCTCAAATTTATAGAACACTTGGTTACTACTTTGAAGAATATTTACATAAAATTTCACTTCTCTAGGGTTCTCTCCACTTGAAATTTTTAATTCCGCGCCCAAACCCTGTCGCGCCCAAATATCCTAAACCCTCAAAGGATTACCTATCATATAACCACTTTCTTATATTTTTCTGAAAAGAAGATTGAAAAAGAGAGTAAAGAAGATGGACTTATTTTTTGGTTGTAAATTTATTTGGTTGTTTGTGTTCTTCAAAAAAATTTTTGTTTCTTGTTTTTCTTGTTTGTCGCCGTTTTTGGAAATTTTCTTTTTATTTTTAATATTTTTATCCTTTAAATTTATCATTTCTATTTTCGAAAAAAAAATTTTTTTATTAGAAAAAAAAACTTTTGTTGTGTCCTTCAATTCACGTGACAAAATATAAAAATTTGGAAGAGGAAAACAAAATTAGTATATTTAAATTGAAGGAATGGAAAATGTAATTTTTAAGGGGGTGTTTTGTAAGGAAAGAAGGAATGTTGTTTGGGGACTTTAAATAAATTTGTAATTGGAAAATTTTCTATTTTTAGTACAGGAAAGTTTTCAAATTATTAATTAGTAGTTCGTTAAAAAACAAAAATTAGTAAGGGAGAAGATTTATTGTGGAATTTTTGAGAACTATTTTTAAAATAAGCAGCCGAACATTATTTTTATATACTCCATCTCGAGACTAGAAATTGTAGTAACTTAAATTGGGAGTGACCAAAAGAGTGCCTAATTTTTGGATATTTAAAAACGAGGTTCGACTGTGTGACTAACGAGTTTCAATTTTTTAACTTTAACTAGTCTATCTCGATATCTCACGTCTGCATAAACCCAGTCTTGTTTAGATTTGACTGTAATATTTGCTTATAATTCACAGACTCCATGATGTATTCCGTTTTCAACAAGATCGTGTTTTGTCCGCAAACCTTTGGATAAATGGGTGGAGTGTAGGGTTGTCGATTTTTAGGAAATCTTAAAATTTCCTTACCAAAGAACTCAAACATCTTTGGTTCGGTTCCGAACCGGCAACCCTATCAATGAAGTTAATAGTATCGCCCAATTTGTGTAATACAATCCAAAAGAATTTTTATTTTTCGTAAAATGACGCAAATTGTGTTCATTTAATTACACGTAAATGACCTTGACTTGAACTGGTCATTGATTTTTAGGTTAATTAAGGGAATTTCTTTTTTTAATCTTTTGCGTCATCCTTTTTTGATCAAATAATGATTAAATATTTTGTGTGTTTTGTGTACAAAATTTAAAATTTTTTTTAATTCTGATTAAATTTTTATTTTCTTACTAGTCAGACTAATAAGGTTGTCTGTTCGGGTTCGGTTTACCTCCTTTTGAGGATTAAATATGTATTTTACCTTGTAAATAGGGGTAACTTAAATAGAGGGTAGTTTGGTTGGCGAACGGGTTTTTCGGGATTAACCGAACCCTCTGGTTTTGGTTTTTTGGGGTTCTATATTTAAATGAGAGATGACTAAATATTTTTTTTCAAATGGGGAAATTAAAAAATTAATTTTTAATTTGCGAATATTTCAAATTTTGAAAAAATGGGCAATAAAATATATTAAATTTAATAAATCTTTAAAAAAATATTTGCCTTTTAATTTAATTTTAGAGCACAAATTTGTGGAACGAACACTCGATTCTTGTTCAAACTGCGTTGAAAGCCGGCTTTTTGAAAAACATGCAGTTGTTGCTACTGGAAAGAAGGTGAGAGAGAGGGAATATTAGAGAATAGGGGGATTGTTTTTTAATTTTTGAATTATTAAAAAAGAAAAAAAATGAATTTGGGGATAGAAAGTTGATAATTTTTGTTGAATAGGTACCGAGGATTTTTTAGTTTTGAATTGCTGGTTTGTTGGTAACTCGTGCATACGGCTTTCTGAAGAATTTCTTAGAACTGACACCTCGCATGGGACTAAATTTCTCAATTATTTCTGACAATCAGATATTTTAAAGGAATAGGTGGGTACTATTAGAGACTGAACTGTGAGAGTCATACGGTGAGATTACTAAAAATCTTGATTCTCGTTAACTGAGATTTTTGTTTGAAATCTCGTCTCATCTCTAGTTTCGATTACCTAATCGTTTATAAGCAACTAGGACATTACTCTGTTTAGAGGGAGAGAGATACCGCTTAGACCGGTAAGGTCACACAGAATTCCACATATTTTTCTTGATTTACCCGAATGCTATATTTTGCAGTTTATTACTCCATATTATAATTGTTTTCACACATTTTCTATAAATTTTGTAGACTTATTTGTCTGTTATCAATTGGGATGGACTTTCTCCAGAACATTGTTATATAACAACAATGGAGCATTATTCAAGTAGTTTAGTGTTAGATGAAGATGTTTGGGAGGAAATACAATTTTGGATGAAAAGTTTGGTGAATATGTGGAGGGAGGATGAGGAAGACCAAGATTGTGTTTTCTTTGAAAATGCTAGGGATATACATGAACAAAAGCATATGTCTATTGAATGTGAGTCTTTTTTTGGAAGGGAGAAGGGGGAGGGAGTTTGTTGTTATCTGTGGGATAGGTCAAGAATCCTGCCGTTTTGATTCCTAAAATAGAGGGATTTATTTTTTATGTCGACAGAATCCTTGGACTACCTACGACTTTTAAATAAAATTAAAAAGGTTGTATAAAGTCGACCTTGATACTATAAGTTGAAGTTTGGAAGGAGACGTAGATCTTATAAAGATTGTTTAGATTCGACTCTCTTGAGGGACTAGTTATAAGCTTATAAGCTCTGTGGTAGATTGGATTGTTAGGGAGGGGTCGTAAGAGGTTTTACGATTTTCTAAAAATACTGAGCCAAGCTAGGTCTAACAACTAATTGAAGTTGAAGTAATTTGGGCGACTCTAAAAGATGTTTATTTTTCAGGTGTTCCATTACCTAGAGAAATTGGTGATTTGTCTCCTATATATTTTAAGGTAAAAAATTCTTTAAACAACATCGAAAATTTTAAAAAATTCGAAAATTTTAATTGGAATAAGGTCCAAAAATTTATATTTCTGTGCGGCTCCGACCCAAATTTAAGCTCAGGCTTCTTCAACTTTGAAGATTTCTTATTATTCTGTTTTAAAAATTTGGCTAAAAGTTGTCCTTAAAAAAAATTTTTTTCTTTAAAGAAAGCAATAATGGAATCAGAAAAGGAATGGAGTGTAAACAAAAAATTAATTGATCTTTCCAAAAATCCAAGACAAAGTCAAGGTGTTCGTGGTTTGGTGCCTAAAGGTTTCCCCTACTTTGCTGTCTATTTTGGATTACAGCCTGGATATGCCCACGTTATTGAAAAAGAAAAAAATTTTCCTGCTAATTTTGCTCAGGTGGGGGAGAATTTTTATTTATAAAATTGACTATATCGTGATTTTATTTTGCATAATTCTGAAAAAAATCCTGATAATATTTTGAGGAAATTCTGTCAATATTCTGATTTTAATGGGCATAATTCTGACAGTATTATGCTAATATTGAAACAAGATTTTTGGAAAATTCTGATTTAATTTTGATATGTTCTGATTTTATTCTGACAAAATTCTGGTAATATTCTGATTTTTACTGACATATTTTGATTTTGTTCTGATTTATTCTGATTTTGTTTTGATATATTCTGATTAAATTCTGATTTGCTTCTGACATATTCTGATTTTGTTCTAACCAAATTCTGATATATATTCTGACATATGCCAACTTAATTCCGGCAAAATTCTGATTTTTTTGGATTATATTCTGGTAAACTGTACATATTCTGATTTATTTTTATGCCAATATCCAAAGCTTTACTTTTTCCAATTTAAAGGAAATAATTGGTGGAATGCTTGATTTACACTACAAACATTGGAAAAATCCAAAAAAGCAGTCATTTAATGAAATTAAAATTAAACGAGAACAATTACGTCAAAAATTTTCAAAATATGATTGGACAGAAAATACAGATAATGAAAAAGAGGAAAAAGAAGAGGAAGAAAAAAATGAATAAAATTTATATATTTCAATTTTATATATTTATTTTTAAAATCAGGTAAAAATTATTTTTGGTAAATCTTTATTATTTTTATTTATTGGATTGTGAGACAATTCACCACCTAGATAATAGACTGTGCTACGCGGTTCTGTTATGATTCTGATTTAATTAAAAATATTCTGATTTTGTTCTGATAATATTTTAACCAAATTCTTAGTTTATTCTGATTATATTCTGATACTTATTCGATAATTCTGACCAATTCTGATTTTCTGATACAATTCTGACTTGGGACTGGGCCGTTTTGGCGCGAGCTTATAAAATAGCGAGTTTGTTATCAAAAATGGTAAAATTTTGCAAAAATAACTCTCGTACCTTTATCTATGTTCTCCAAAAATTTCAGAATTTTTGAGCAAGAATTTTAGACAATTCGCCACCTAGCTAATAGCTACGCGGTTCTGTTATGATTCTTATTTAATTAAAAATATTCTGATTTTATTCTGATAATATTTTAACCAAATTCTGATTTTATATTCTGATATTTATTCTGTTACTTATTCTTTAATTCTGACCAATTCTGATTTTCCGATACAATTCTGACTTTATTTTCATAATATTCTGATATATTCTTATTTAATTTCGACATGTTCTGATTTTATTCTAATATAATTCTGATATATATTCTGACATATTCCGCCTTAATTCTGACTGATTCTTTTGGATAATATTCTGGTAAAATGTGCATATTCTGATTTATCTGATATATTCTAATATGTATTCTGATATATATTCCAATTTAATTCTGAATTTTTTTAATAATATTCTGATCCCTTCAATTCTCCAGTTCTGGTTATTTTCTGTTTTTAAGATAGTGTTACGTCTAAAGGGAACACTCCAATTTCGTCATGTCTCTCTAATTCCATTCCCCCCTTCAAAAAAATTTTTGTCGGCCAATTCTTAATTGAAAAAAAAATATTAAAAAAGAAGTCCTTTTATACCTCGTGGCAATAATATTTAATTTCAAAAGTCCTTTTTCTTCTTTTTTCTTTTTTTTTATTTATTTATTATCCTCTTTTGCACTTAAAAAAATGTTCGTCACGAAAATAAAATGTTTTCTTTCTTTCCTCTCTTGACGGGATTTTTTTTCAAAAAAAAAATGCCCGTTCCAGACTTAACCCCCCTTTTCCCCTCTTCAAATAAAAAAAAAACTCGCAGACAATGTCTAGACAGGATGGCATCCGCACACAAACAACAAAAATGTATTTTTGTTGTTTTGTTTTTGCCCCGCCTTTTTTCATTAAAAATTGGGGGGTTCTCTGTGTTTGTTGTTGTGTCTATATGTTTATGTGCAGACACATTTTCTCGCTTTTTTAATTTTATGTATGACTCATTATTTCCCCCCATTACAGACAGTTAACAGCCGTTTGCCTTCTTGTTTTTCTCTTTTCTATCTGTCTAACTGCCTTCTCTCTTCTTCATAAAAACATAACGACCGAATGTCAATGTGACAAAATGCCAAAATAAAACTTTGGACACCATGCTAAGCAGGGGTGGGCGCAAGAGAAAATTCAAAAAACGCAACGCAAGGCCAAAGATCAACGCAAAAATTGGAAATTTTTTATCAAGTATTAGCCATATTCAAATAAAAATCGAATTATCGATAAATACGTGTCGGGACAGAACATGGAAAGGATACGACACAGAACGACAAAACACGGTCGGACAGATGTTTGTCGTTCCATGTTTTGTCGTTTCATGTTCTGTCCGTTTCGTGTTTTGGCGTTCCTTGTTCTGCCCCTCACCCGATAAATATCAGCGAATCCTACTCGGATCTGCGATACATATAAGGGTTGGATGGATCTGGAGTCATATCGGGAATACAGGGGAATTGCGGGGATATCAGTGGATCACGTTGGACTAAGAGGATTTGCAGGAAGGGATTTGTGCTCCAGTTCCGAGCCGAAGTTTTCTGAGCCGCTCCATAATAATATCAGTATTCAGATCAAGGCTTCCTCCTTTTTGCGCCGTAAGCGAAAATTTTGAGAATTTTGGAGAAAATAAATACAATTTTTGTACTCAGATTATGTTATATACCAAAAATACATAACATAATGCGCTGTGCCAATAATAGACTTTTTGCTTTTGTTCTTCTTCGCCTTTACTTTTTATCTTTTTTCTCATCTTTCACTTTTTCTTTTCTTTACTCTTCATCCTTCTTCATTTTTCGTTCTACTCTTCCCCATTTTGTTTCAATTTTCCTCTTCATTTTGAAACTTCTTCCTTATTTGCATTTTGTCGATTTTTGTTGTCTTGACATTTTGTCCTTCTGCCATTTTGTCTTCTGGCATTTTGTATAGACATTTCTTTTCGTCAACCAGACAGTTTAGTTGTTCTGCCTCCATTCTCTCTTTTTAATTTTTCTTAACCCTCCTTTATAATTATAAAGAGTTTCTTCAACCACTACTCGCACAAAATGTGTGGTTGCCGCCAGACAGCAGTATCAAAAAAAAGCTCAGACACAATTGCGAGACTAGACAAAAAAAAAGAAGAAAAGGGTAAAAGGACAAGAAACAAACGGGGCGTAGCCTCTTTCTCTTCTTTTCTATTCTTTTTTAAAATTTTCTCCCATTAAAATACTCTCTAGACAGAGACTAGACAGTCTTGTGGTGGCGGTAAGTCATCTGCTTTGCAATATATAAAATTTTTAAACAACAAAAAAGCAGCCGTTGTCTACTCACATTTTATTTATATTTGTTTGTGTGTGTGTTCCAGCTTCATTCCTTTCCCTTTTTAACTTTAAACTTTTCTGCCCTTATAAATTCGCCTGTTTTATTGTTTCTTTTTTTATTTTCCCTCGAAAAAATTTTTTCTAAAAAAAAATTTTTTTAGACAACTTTTAAAATATTTTTTTAAAAATGTTGACGGGCTTGATTAATGCTGTTAGAAGAAAAATTCATAATTTGAATGAGGAAAAGGAAAATGATTCTTTGTCTTTTGATTGTGATAAACAACATAATAATAAAGGCAGATTTATGGTAGGGGGAAATTTTGACTTTAAAAATTTTTAAAAATTTTCAAAAATTTTTAAAAATTAATTTGGAATGTATTTTTAGCTATTTAGACTCCCTTTCATTCCCCAAACACTTTTTTCTTCAAAAATAAAAAGTTTGCCACTGATCGGGTTTGAACCCATACCCTATTTCCTAGCATTTTCCAACTTAACCAAAAATTGACAATTTTGAAAGTTATGTATTTCTGCACATTTTTGGTGTCACATTCAAACCTCTCTATATGATACATCCTTAGAAAAATTTTTTTATAAGCACTGTATCTTTTCAGCACTGTATCTTGTAGTCAATCCCAAAAGTTGTCAATTTTCCAAAAATGTCAGTTTCTGGTTAAGTTGGAAAATGCTAGGAAGTCCCCCATTTTTGGTCGTGTATCTCTTACACCCTAAAGTTTTCCTTTAATGTTTGTACTTCGTACCAAGAGAGTACGCGCACGAATTTTGGTATGACTTCAAACACCCCAACCAATGTCCATCTGAAAAGAAACGAATTTTATAGTTAGTGAAGTCCGTCCTATTTTTAAGCTTTTAAAAGATTTTTTGCCTATCCTTAAACACATTTTCTGTATTAGCATTTACACGTCTAAAACCAAAACAAACTACACACACATATATTTATATTTTAATTTTCCAGTTACTAAGCCAACAGGGAACATCTCAACACTTACACCAACAAGATTATGACTCCAAAAAAACAAAATTGTCAACACAAAAATCTGTTGAAACACCGTCAAAAAGAAAATTAATGTCTCGACGACAATCAAATAAAGAAAATAATAATATTGTAGCTATGGAGAATAATTACAACAACAATAATGTTGGCAGGTGGAAACGTTCCAATAGTGGTGGTGGTGGAGGGGAAAAGCCACCAAAAGTGACGACAATGGAGAGAATTGTAAATAATTTTTAATTAAAGTATAAAAATTAAATTTTCTCTCGTTGCTATGCGGAGATTTGAAAAAAATAAACAAAATCTTTAAAAGTACGAAGAAAAAAAAAATTAAAAATTGTTGTCCGCAAAAAAAATTGCGGACATTTTTTGCGGACGTCCGCAACTTTTTTGCAGACGTCCGCAAAAATAATAATCTTTCTAAAATTTTTAACCCTCAAAAAAATTTTCAGGAAAAACTAAAAGAACGTTTCCAACAAGAATCTACAGAAGATGAAATGGACAGTAACATCCCTGACGAAGCTTCAGATCGTTGCTGTATTTGTTTAACGCAAAGGGCTACTGTTCGAACTTATCCTTGTGGACACCAAGTCTTTTGTCGTCTTTGTGCCATTACTCTGATACAGGTGGATATTGAGAAAATTTGTTTTTAAAATACAAGTTCGGCCGTAAAAATAAAATCCTCAAAAATTTTAAAAATCCACGAAAATTGCGGACGTCCGCAACTTTTTTGCGGACGTCCGCAAATTAAAATTTTTTTAACAAACCAATAGTGAAAAAAAATTTTTTCAGACACTCTACAAAAGTGGAAGTGAAGAAATGCGTTGTATTATTTGCCGGGTTAATATCATTGCATTGCGACATCAAGATTTCAAAAGGGTTAATCCCCCTACAGTTAATCAAGCACACAACGAAGCTACACATTGGAGGTGTTCGTACAACAGAAAGAGATTATACAACGATTAAAGATCGGGTACCCACAATTTTTTTAAAAAATTGGTTGGTCTGTGGAGGAAGCAACAGAATTCTTATTTTATACCTGCAGCCTGCAGCCAACCACTGGTATGAAAGTCCTTAGAATGGCCATTAAAAACGGAGTACCGAAAATGCCTGTTTCAAAGATTCCCGTACTCCGTCAGTGGAAAAACCGTCAGACCTACCGCTACCTAACCTGCCACCACTCAGAATTCTTATTTTTGTGTGTGTGGGGGGATTAAAAGAGCTCTAATTTTTGCCCGATCTCCTTATTTTGTTTTACACCTAAAACGATAGAAATTTACATTTGTTTGTATTTTACCCTTTTTATAGTAAACGATCTCTAATTTATGCCTATATTGTAGATGCAGGTTAATGGCCAAGAGCGGTACTAAAATGTATTTAAAAATTTTTAGACTGAAAAAAATTTCTAAATTTTCGAATCCGCAAAAGTTTTGCGGATGTCCGCAAAAATTATCCGCAAAACTTTTGCGGATGTCCGCAAAAAAAAATCCGCAAAAATTTGCGGACGTCCGCAAAAAATGTCCGCAAATTTTTTTCAGTACCGCTCTCTATTTTTAACTAATCTTTATATTTTCTAGTTTTTTGTTTAAAAATGTGTTTGTTCTTTTCTTTATTTTTATTTGTCCAATTTTCTTTTATAAATCACTTAAAAATAATGTTGCATATTTTTTTCCTTTTCTTTAAAATTTTATTTTTCACCAAAAAATAATTTTTTTTTATTAAAAACACACAAAAATATTATTTTCAAAAAATAAATAGTTAAAGAGCTTAAAAAAGAATTTTTTAAAAATTTCTTAAAAAAATAAAAATACATAGGTAAAGATTAGATGAATTAAATAGGTGTAAAAATGATTTTAGGAAAATAAAATAGGTATAACCCGATAAAAATTCTTCTTAAATTTATTCGGACTCCACTATAAGACGCCCTCAATTTGCATTTTCAGACAAAAATTTTTTTCAATTTTCAAGTCAGCAAAAGTTTTGCAGATTGTCCGCAAAAGTTTTTGCAGATTGTCCGCAAAAAGTTTTGCAGATTGTCCGCAAAACTTTTTTATACCTCTGTTTAATGAACGTTTTATTATCTGGTTGAACTCTGTGACAAGGAAAATGTCTAAGCAATGCCCTCTATTTAATATTTAATCAAGGGGCATTTTTTGTTGCTCAAATGGGAGGAAGATGTCTTATAGTGAAGTCCGACTTTGTATAAATCAAAGCTTAAGTGTTAAAAACTGCACTATAAACTCAAAAAATATTTAACAAATACAGAAGGATAACTAAGAGAGAATGCAGATAACGACGAGAACCACAAAAAGGTGTCCGCAAAAGACTTGCGGACATCCGCAAAAAATTTGCGGATGTCCGCAATTTTTTTTTGTATTTTTTCAAGCTTTAAGTCTCAGATTTTAAAAGTAGAGCACTATAAAATTTTGAAAATAAAAAAATTCTCTCTATTAAAATTAAATTACAAGAACATACAAAAGGATTTAAAGCGAAAATCTTTTTAAAAAATTTTTAAAAATCAAAATTACTAGAAAAGGGTTAAAAAATAAAAAATTAAATACAAAAATAAAATTAAATAAAAACTTTTGTTTCTCTCTCAAAAAAACTACCTTCCATTATTCCCAACTGTTTGTGTTGAAACATTTAAATATTTTGGGGTATTTGCTTGTGACCATTTTCTTTGTTGAAAACAGAGGTTTAAAAGTGAACATTTTAATGATCTTTTGAAAATTAAAAAAATTAATAGAATTATACCAGACTAAGTCGGATCTCATTACTAAACTGGTGGATACTAGGAAATCCCTGTATCCGAACCACGGAATCCGGACCTTTTTGATTAGGATAATGGATCGCCAACCCTACTCATCAGGTCCGTAACTATAATTCGGAGGGGAGAGGGGGGGAGGGGCGGAGTGGAAATCATTAAAAAATTTTTGATAATTTTTAGAATTTTAGTAGCTTTAGGCGGAAAAAAAATTCACTTTTCTCCATCCCTCCTAAAATTTTTTCCTTTTCCCATTTCGGATGTGGGATAATTAACATTGTATCCGACACAATAGTGTGCCATTTGAAAGTTTAACCATTACGAGCTCATTGAGGAAAAAATGAGGACAAAATTTGGAATTACCAAAAACTGACTTAAACCCCCCCCTCCCTAAGAAAAATTTTAAAAAAATTAAAAAAAAAACCTCGGAATAACAACAACATTATTTAAATCATTAACCAACAATTCAAAACAAACATTGTAAATATCATCAAATAATTCTGGGCTGTTTAACCATAAAGATTTTTGACCAGAATCACAAAAAGTGGCTAATCCTTTAAAAAAAATTTATTTAAAAATTAAAAAACTTTAAAAAAACCTTCTACACATTTTAAAAATAAATTTTTATTAATTTCATTATTCTCTTCCAATTCATTATTTTTCTGAAAAAATTGAAAAATTATTATAAAAAATTATGGCTCTGGTCTAGTTTATGCGTCCAATGAAAAGTTAAGTATATCTGAAGATCAGGGGATCAAAAGGATTTTCTATTGACATCCCGATATCCCTTCAAATACCCTGATACCCACATTATCCCCCTTAATCCCTTCAGACACCTTATTGGACGCACAAAGGTTCACTGGACGCATAAACTAGACCAGTGTCAAAATTAATATATGAAGAGAGGGCCCGAAATCTGGACTTGGATACAAGACTCGATTAGACTTTTTACTTGTGATAGTTCCCAACTAGTGGTTTTTCGGGTCGGTTAACCTAGGGATTTGGCGAAATCGACGACCCTACTCCCAATTTAGTGTTGGCCAAATTTATAAAGTTTTTGTCGTCATTTTGAAAAAAGAGTGAAAAATTTTAAATTATTAACAAGTCAGAAAAATGAAAAAAATTTGGAGGAAAAAAAGAAATTACGCTAATAGTAAGTTAAACGACAAGGAATTGGCTTTAAAAGGGATTCCTGTCGAAAGACTAAAAAATTTTTTAAGGAATCCGACCCCCCCCCCTCCAGTTTCTAATAATTAAAATCCCAAGCCCCTTACGTTAATAGTAGAGACCGGCAAAATCGTGTTTGCGGGAACCCGCATGCGGGATTTTTTTAAAAAATCTTTGCGGGACGGGATCCCGCGGGAAAAATCCCGCATTCCGCAAATAGAAAAAAGTGCGGGATTGCGAGACCCCGCAAAATCCCGCGCCGGTCTCTAGTTAATAGTAAGTTAAATAGCAAGGAATTGGCCTTGAAAGGAATTTATGTCAACAAACCAAAAAATTTTTTTACCAGAAATCCCCACAGCCCCCTTCTAATAATAATTTTTAATTTCAAAAAAAAACCTTGCAAATTTCATTTAAAAATCCAATCCAGCCAATTATTGTATTAAATATTGTAAACAAAACCAAATTTGAACTTTCCAAAGCTCTATTAAATTTTCGGGGCCATTTGTTAACCAAAAGTTGTGCCAAAACTGTTGGGAGGGTTGGCAAGTTTGATTCTTCTTCGTCCAGAAATTTTCTTATGGCTTCTTTTAGACAAGCAGAAAATGAATTTTGGAAGTGTTGAGAGGCTAAAAAGAATAAAAAAAATTTTGTTTTTGAAAGCTACTCTTCTTTAGCAAATGTCCGCAAAAATATTTGCGGACAACTTTTTTAAATAATTTAATATTCAAGTCATCCCCCGTCTTTCTTTGGAATTTTTTTCTTTTTTTAAGGAATTAAAAAGACAAATTAGAAAAAAGGGGATTAAAAAGCCAAACATCTACTTATGTAGGTACTAAAATGTTGGTTCCGTAAAAATTTCAAGCAGATAACTTGAAAAATGAAAAATCAAGGTCAATAAGTCCGGAGTCGGAGCTCGTCGGGGTTGAGATTGTCGGAGGTCGAGTCGAGTTCGATAAAGTCGTTTGGAGGCGGGTAACTGAATGGGATCGAGGTCAAACCAAAATTAAAATATTTGAAATAAAACAAAAATCCCAAAAAGTACTCTGTCCGCAAAATTTGTTCGCAAGTTTTTTGCGGACATTTAAAATAAAATTTTAATTTAACTGTTTGTAAACCATTAAAATAAATTAATAAATTTAAAAAAAACCAATTAATTCAGTGCATAGATCAAGAACAAAATAAATATCATTTTGCTCCAAAGCAGCATCACAAAGAGTGGTAGCCAATTTAGAATAATCATTTTCAGTCAAATTTCCAGAATTTTTTTGAAAAAAGGATTCTAAATAAAATAAAAGTTGATAACTGGTTAAAATTTTTTTAATAAATTTAAAAAATGGGGAAGTTTTTATTTTTGCGGACAATATTTGCGGACTTTTAGAAATTGAAGGAAAACTTAGGAAGGCTATGAATGTTAATGTAATCAATAAAGACATAGACTTATATTATTTCTAACCAGGGATGTTTCTAGTTACCTTAACTTTTCGATCAGAAACCCAAATTATCTGATATAACCTTTAATCCTATAAGCCCATAGTATTGGTCCGAAACCAGGGCAGAAAAAAATTTTATGACTCGACATAACTTTTTTCTCAGGCCGTGACTAATTCACTGATTCTAACCCTTCCAAAAAATTTTGGATGGGGGCAAGTGTCATTCGGACTTGTGGACGTAGTCGAGGGAAAGGAAGCATGTGGTAATAGAGCGACTATATTCATGGAGGAGGATCGATTAACCAAAGGAAGCTAAAATAAAAGAATAGAAAGGCGAGGCCAACAACATCATAACAAGGGTAGATCAGGTACCCCAAAATTTAAAAAAAGGAAAAATTAAAGAAAAGACTCACTAACATCCGCCAAAGAAACGCAAACCTCAGAATTTGACAAATTTAAAGACTCCAAAGCATCGTTAATATTATTGCATTCTTTAAAAGTTTCCGACTTTTTCTTTATTCCATTAAGACGAGGAGGGCGTGAAGTAGACCTTTCTGGATCCAAAATTGACTGAATACTTCCAAGAAAACGTTTGTCGCGGCTGTCAGTTTCTGCACTTCTTCTTGGCTTTGCCCTCTCATTTGACATTATTTTTTGGTGAAGTTTGACGTGATAAAATTGAGAAAAAATCACAGGAAGAATAAAAGTCGAAAAATAATGAAAAACCCGAAAAATAATTTAAAAATATTAATTTGGCATAATGTTTTAATAAATGGGATAAAATGTCATTTTTGTTAAAACGTCAACTATTCAAGAAAAAGACTTAATCTCTCAAAGCGAGGCCAGACAAGACTTAGATTTTGACAATTTTGGGGATTCGAGGTATCTTTTTAATTCTTTTTCGTTTAAGTTCCACTAAGCAAATCTAATCTTCGACTAAATTGGTTGATTTATTGTAGTTCTTTTGTCTGTAGATATTTTGAAAATCCTACTTGTTAGAGATTTTTTTAATTTAATTTTCATTTTTGGCATAACGTTTATTTCTAGATAGTTAATAGAAAAGAGTTAGAGATGTTTTTCTAAGCGGCGTTTATTTTTAAAATGTTTCCCAACTTGTTTTTCTCCTTTTTCGTTTTTTCGTTGTTTTCCTTTTTATGTTTTTAGCTAACTTTTCGAACATTTTTGGATCATACATAGGTGGGTTAAGGGCTGTTTCGAAACAAAAAAATCTTTTAAATTGCAAGTCAAAAACCGAATTTCGAAACAGCTCTGCTAGGATTGTAAGTTTTAACAAATCAGATATAACAAGTCATATCAAAACGCTCTATTAGTTCTGTATTTGCACGCGAAAACATTAACCATAACAATTACATTTATCTTTAATTTTATATTTTTAGAGTTAAAAAATTTTCAAAAATTTATTTATTCTACTTCACTGCCCTTCTAAAAATGCTTGTTACGATTTGCGATGTTGAGGCGGATTGGTGCTTGATGTTACTGCATCAGATTTACGTCCTTCTGTGACGATCGATGAAATGAGGAATCAAGTGGTACAAGGTTTTTCTTTTATTTTTTTTTGGGTTTTGGGTAGAGTGAAGATTAGTTGTCCCTTGAAAGGATGAGAAAAAGTGCTCTCGATTTGTCCGAGGTTTCTCGGTAATCAATCGGGTGTGCTGACATTAGTCAGGATATGAGCTTAGAATTTATTGATTTTAACCCTGGACCCTTTTTTAAACTAGCTATTTGGCTCGTGATAGTTTATGTGGGCGAAACAATGAAACGTCAGAAGAATCAAACCCTGAAATATTTTTTAAGTCTGGGATTTGAAATTATTAAATTCTGAGATCAGATTAAAGCTCATTACACTCGTTTCCTAATAGCAAACCTCAGAATATCGAAATAGCACTTTTTCTCACTTTTCCGTGGACGGGTATACCCGTTCCGATTTTTGAAATATGTGGGGCTGTTTTGTACTGGTTACTAGGGAGTATTCTATAAATGGGGCCTGCGTCGGTGCATCATTTACCCTCTTCTTTCATTTTCGGGGAAAGTTCTAAGGTAACCTGCTATCTCATTTTTAAATACTGCTCCTTATTTACGAGTCCCTTTGGTGGTTCCTATGTTATCCAAGGATCCGCACATTTCAGGCATGTCGAGCGGCCATCCACCAGTCATTTTTATAAGTATTTAATTTAAATCTGATAAACTCCCAAAATTCATACGTTAGTTTATGATCCCAGAATCAATAACAAGAATCCTCGACGCATTTCCCATGCTTGTATTTTTACGATCTTTAGGCATCTTGTATTGTTATACTTACATAAAAATTGCTTATAAGGCCGTAGCTAAGAATTTTTCAGAGAGTCTCTTGAAATTTTTTCTGGGATTATATTCAAAAATTATTTTTTACTTCTTTCTACTTTCTCAAATTTAGGTAATGTTGAGAGAAACTTCAAATGCTCTTTACTGTAACTACGCAACATCAATTGCTTTCTGCGCAGCTGACGGTGGTATTTTGCAAGTTTTAGTTATATTTTTTGGGTTAATATTGAAAAAATGAGTTGGGGGTCCCTTAGTAATTTTGTGGGATGAGATTCGAAAGTTGAATTTAAATTTATGTTAATACGTTTAATTTGTTAGTAAACGTTCCAAAATCTGGTATTATGTGTTCCACTTACTAGTGAGGATTGCCGGTCCCTAGAAAAAATGAGTAACTGCTTTTTCGATATTTTTGAGATTTTCCAGTAGGTGATTGAGTATGCCGAGTCCAAATCTGAGCTCCCGGACCAGAATTCGATCAAGTCAAAAGCGGTTTTAAATTCGAAAATTAAAATTGTAGTGCTGTTTCGACACCTTTCAAAGAAATTCTGATGATTGATTTTGTATAAAGGAGTTTTTATCTTTTATTCCAAAAGTTGTATTTAATTGATCATACTTTCGTTTAATGTTATCGTCACAATTAATCTGGATACCATTCAACTCAACTCTAAATAAGAATGGCTTTAGTATCTT